AAGAGGGGCACAGAGATGCTGCCTGGAGGGGGTGGGGGTGGGCAGGCCTAAAGAGTCATTGCAGTGAGATGGGCAACTCCTGCTAGGGGGGCACTGGCCATCTGAGGTCCTGAACTGGGGATGCCTGCAGGAAGGTGGTGTGTAGCCTCTCAGGTCAGGAAGCTGCTGGTGGTGTAACAGGCATGGGCCAGTTACAAAGGAGGGGCCCAGAGAACGGAGGGAGATTTCTGGGGTACCCAGTTCAAAATCCATCTATGTATAGTGGAGCAGAAGCAAGCCTGGCTTAGGGCAATTCCCAGTGGGCTGGGCCTTTGAGTCTCTTCCCCCACTCCCCAAGGGCAGCCTCTTGTTGTAGACCCTTGTTGCCCTAGAACTGGTCAGTGCTTGTCTTCAAGCCCAGGTTAATGACCAGGGATTTTGAATTTTCCAGAGATCTATAAAGTGCTGGCCTCCTTGGGACAGTGATGTCCTCTAACCCACTCCCCTGGGTCCCTACAGCTAAACCTCGTGCCACCCCCTTGGGCCAAGGTAATTGGCTCCAAAGCCCTGCCTGAGAGCAGATGGTAGGTTCCAGCGTCCAGGTGGTAGCACCCATGCGCTTACCATAATTTCCCTATGTCCAGTGCCCCTAATTCTGTGCACTCCATGGCATTTGGCAGTCTTTATTTATTTATTGCAGTACTAGGGTTTGAGCTCAGGGCTACACCTTGAGCCACTCCACCATCCTTTTTTTTTGTGATGGGTTTTTTCAGATAGGGTCTTGCAAACTATTTGCCCAGGGAGGCTTCAAAAAAAAAAACAGTTCTCTATATCTCTGCCTCCTGAGTAGCTAAGGTTACAGGCGTGGGCCACGGGCACCCAGCTTGGCAGTCTTGACCCTAGCCCCAGCCATAGGATAAGAACCATGTCCCTAAGCAAGAAAATGAGGGCTGGGCTCTGGATGGGGAGGGGGTGGGTGCCATGACCCCTTGAATTAATAGTCAGAGTCCTGAGTTGGGTGTTCTACAACGTCCTAGTCCTGTAGGTGGGTATTGAGGTCCCACCTAACTCTATCTCCATTTACGTAAGGGTAGAATGGGCGCAAGTGCTGGCCCCGCCCCCTAGGGGTCAGCCTGGGTATGTGACCATGAGGAGTCCATGGGACTGTAGCCCCAGTGTGGGGGCTTTTGGCTGGTGGGAGGCTCTTGGAGCAACCCAGTGTGATGGATAGTATGGGAGCCCGGTACCATCCCATCTAGGAGTCCCCAATACTGTTGCAAACTGGGAAGTCTTCTTGAGGCCAGCAGGGGGTGCAAGAGGCTCTGCTCAGACTGTCTCCAGTAGAGGAAGAGTCAGTGAAGCCTGAAGAGGCTCTGGCCTGCCTTGGCCCTGGCCTACTTTGGTGGAAGAGGGGGGCCCAGGGGGAGGGGGTCCCTTCCTGGGCTCTACCAATTCATCGGTAGCCTTCCTTAGACTTGGGGTGGGAGTCCCCTGGGGTGTTTATTATTGTCTGCCCCTTGGCCAGGGTCTGAACACACACTAGGATTAGCAGCTGTCCTTATGTAGTACATTCAAGGTCTAGGATTATCTATGTACAGGTGGGGAGATTGCTGCCCAGTGGAGGAAGGGTAGGAGTAGGTGGGCCCCAGAACCTCTTGGGAAGGGGTTGCCCAGAGTCACAAAGCAGGCATCAGTGCCTCAGAGTCTGGCAGGAAGTGAAGTGTACAGACTTCATCCCTTTCCTTTCCCCTTAGCTCTGGGTCCCTACCCCTGCTCTGAGAAGAAGGGTCTGTGCTGTAGGTCTAGCCTGCAGAGAGGGCTTCTGGGCCTCTGCCATCTGCCTTAGGATAGGTTCTGCCACCAAGTGGGCCTTAGGACCTAAGGGACAAAGGGTGAGGCCCAGGCAGGGGGAAGGGAGGAGCTGGATGAGTCGCCCATGGTGCAGAGTGCTGCCTGGCAGAGCTGCCCCACCCTGGCTGGCCTGCCCACACATGCAGGCTCCACCCTTGGATTTCCAAAGTGGCAGGGTGGTAGGTGGGGCCTTGGAGCCAAGTCTACCAGGGGAGACTAGCCCCATTGGGGAACCCCAGGGAAGGGGCATTCCTCCAGCCAGGGAGCCCCAACTCCAGACTAGTCTGCTGTGGGCAGAGGGTGGAGCCGGCCCTGGACCTTACCCCAGATCTGTGGACTCTCCTGAACACATACTCCTTCTCCCCCCCAATCCAAGGCTGAGGTTCCAAGACATTGAGGGACAGGGATGCCCACAAGATCCCTGGGGTGTCTTCTGCTTTGCTGGGGGTGAATGCCTAGGAGGCGGGTGCCTCAGAGACTCCATTATTCATCAGCTTCAGCATCTAGTTTCTGGGTATCAGTTTCAACAAGCCAGCCCTGACTCACAGGTCTGGAACTGGGCTGGGCTGGGGTGGGGGAGCTCCCCAGGGGGCTTGGGGCCAGGACCTCAGGCGAGTTCCCTGCTGCAGAGAGGAGTCGAAAATCCAAGAGCTGTGAGGCCCTTTGCCTCTCCTGGCACAGGAGCTAGGGGCTCCTTTCCTCTTCTTGCTCTGCCACTTCTTCTGCATTCTGGTCCTGGGGCAGCAGGACCCTTGCTCTCTAATGAGCAGAGTCCACGCTGGAGCACCCAAGTGGCAGCATGAATCAGATGACTAGGGCCCAGTCACTCAGGTGACCTCCAGTGGACAACCTACCCTGACCATCTCCATATGCTGTGACCTGGTTATCCCACACCAGTGTGATTCTCTCCTCAAAAGGGTGGTCTTCAAGAACCTGCTCGCAGACCATCACTTAGCTGGTCCCTAGGCCCCAGCCCTGTCCTGGATCTAAGGCATAGGGGCATCTGTCCCAAACTAGGCATCTTGTTTTTCCACTTTCACTATTCACCTTGGGGGCATGTTCTGTAACCACTCAAGGCTTTAGTTTTTTCCTGTTAAGTTGGAGTAGTGGCAGTATCTCCTTTGAGAGACTCTGAGAAGAGTGAATGGGATTTGCTGCCCCAAACTCCTGGGACAGTCGTGACACTTGGGGCCATGCTCACTGAAAGGTAGGTAGCTGTCTTCCTTTGGGGCAGGGACAAGGAGCTAGAGAAAGGTCACCAGGATTTGAGTGGAAACTCACTTGCTCTGGGTCAGCAGGCCCAAGGTCACACATGGATCCTAGGAAGAGAGAGAGATCCTTTGGTCCAGCAGCGGGGAAGGCTCTGTTGAGAGCCTCCACAGAAATGAATATTCTGAAGCTGGTTTGCCAGTGACTCACACCTGTAATCCTAGCTACTCAGGAGGCAGAGCAGGATTGCAGTTCGAAGCCAGCCCAGGCACATAGTTCATGAGACTCTATCTCAAAAAAACCCATCACAAAAATAGGGCTTGTGGAGGGGCTCAACGTATAGGCCCTGAGTTTAAACCCCAGTTCCAAAAACAAAAAGTAAGTAAGTAAAATCCTGGCCAAGACTGTCCCTGTCCTCAAAGTTCCTCTGTAGCTGAAGACCTTCTGCCTTCATTCATCTACTTAGTGATCTACATGGAACATACCATAGTTGTGTCACAACCATCGTGAAGGCTAAGAACACAGCAGAGCCAGACAGCTAAGGCCTGTCAGGGACATCTTAGCAGGAAAGAATGATAAAGACAAGAACAAGGAAATAAAATGTTCTCAGGTGGTAATAAATGTGAAGAAGGAATTAGTTCAACTTCAGGGACTTGTGAGAAGGAGGGTGATTGGGTATTTATTTTGAGAGCTGCCAGTCAAAGTCTGGAGCGAGTGCAGCCCCAATGGGGAGCAATGCAGAGGTCAAGGTCCTGAGACTGATGAGTTGTATGGCCAGCCAGCAGGTGGACCACCAAATAGGACCGCCTACGAGTAGAGGTGGGAGCCAGGCCATGGTAGATTTTATTCTAAGCAAGATAGGAAGTAATCGTTTCTAAAAACTATCCCTGTGGTATGGGTAGTGTATGACCTGGCTTTTGGAAGTGCAATTGGCCTCTGAAACCTCCCAACCCCAAGCTGCTGCCCCTGAAAGCCATCTCCGGAGACTCGTGGCCCCTTTTCTGCCCTGTGGAGTCAGATGGAGGAGGAGCTGTTAAGGTGTGGGTGGGCTGAGATTGCAGATGGCTTACTGGTACTGAGGACTGTTCCACCGAGGCCATTCTAGACCCAAGTCAGCAGTCTGGGTTTCTGTGCACTTTTATGTCTCTTTATGTCACTATCCCCCAGGTGATAAGTGCGGATAGTAGTACCTGCTTTCTTGGGAATGAGTGAAAAAGCGCTTTGACAACCACACAGTCGGGACCCCTGCACCTCAATCGGAGGCCGGGCGTCCCGTTGGGCTCTGCTGAGTGCCCCCTAGCGGTATCCCGAGCTGTCGCTGCGGGGACCTCCGGCAAAGCCGAGCTGGGCTGCCAGGTTTTCCTTGTTACCCTCCCCGCTCCTCACCCAGTCCGGAGGGGCGGGGGGTGCGGGGAGAGACCAGAGCACCCTCCCGGCCTCTTGGACCTTAGAGACAAGGCCGCATTCCGCCCGCGGCCCCCAGAGGACACTGGCGCCCTCGGCTCTGTGCCACGCCACTGCGTGGGGAGGTCCCCAGGACGGTGCGCGGGCCTCGGATGACCCTGGGGAGGGCTCTGAGCGCAGGATGGTGGCTGCGACAGCGTGCAGTTCCAGCAGAGAGGGTGTCCCCGGGCTGGACGCAGAGCAGGGTCCGAGGACCCCGAAGGGAACGCGGCCCTGCCCCGGCCTGGCCCCTTTAGTGCCCGGCACTCGGGGAGCCCCCTGGGGACGTGAGAAGGGCGGAGGCGCGGTCTGGGGAGGCGGGGTGCCCTTGAGCTGGCAGAGGGTCGGGTATCCCGGGCGGGGTTCCGCCGGCTCAGCGGGGTGTCACGGCCACCCTCCCCCCGATGGTGTCCCTCTCGCTCGGCCGGGGGCGGGCGCGGCCGCACAATGGCAGGAAGCGGGGCTCCGCGCTTTGTCCGGCAGTCGGGCGGCGCAGACCGCCGCTTCCTCCGGCCGCCATGGGGACCGGACCCGGCGTCTCCGGGCGCCGAGCGGCGTCCAGACTCGGCCCCGGGCTGCCCTCCCCAGACTCCGAGCCCTGCTGGGCCGGGGGTCGCTCCCGCGGCGAAGGCCAGGTACCGGGGGCGGGGAGGGTGGGCGGGGCGCGCGCGATTTCTGTGCCTCGGCTCTTGGCGCGGTCCCCAAGGAGGGTTGGGGCCCAGGGCCACCGAATCCCCTGCCTGGGCTGCACACCATTTGGGGGCCGGGGCTCGAGGTGTGTCCCCCCGCTCCCGGGGTTAGGGGATGGATGGCCCAGGCGCCCGACCTCTCCTGGCCTCCGGACACACCTGTGGGGCCAGGCGACCTCCCCTTCCTTCCTCTGCCCACAGCCCTGCCACTCCCTCCTCTCCACACAGGCCTCTGCTTCTTCTGCCTCAGGCCTCAGTTCTTGTGCAAGAGGGAAGCCAGCACACAGTGGGGTTTAGCTGTGCTCTCCAAAGGACATCTCAGTTATTTGTAAGGCACTGTTTTTCAAAGTGCTTGTGGCCTGCCTGTTCCATTGGGTAGGAAACTATCCCTCATCCTACTGGCACCGGTGTGGCTTGGTGGGCAGGCAGGAAGGCTGGGGAGGAGACATCTGGGTCTGAGAGAAGGGACCCAAGAGTGGCTTTGGGAAGGAGCCACCCTACTTTAGTGCTAGGGAGACCCCTGCCAGAGGAGGAGCTGGGGAGACCTTGTGGTTTGGGGATGGGATGTTAGGAAGCTGGAAGGGCTCTGCCCACCCTAGCCTCAGCCTCTCAGCTGGGCATGGTTTTTCCTGGGAGTTCCCGAGCTTCATCCTCAACCAGAGGCTGGGTTCAGTTCCTGGGCCTAGTCTTCATTGGTGTCCCTGCTGTCCCTGAACCCGGGACTGCTGGCAGGGTGGAGGCAGATGAGGTTTGTCCGTGGTTGTAGGAGTTGCAGCCATGGTGGTATTGCTCACCAAAGCCCATCCCAGGGCAGGAAATGAGTCTACAGGCCCCCAAAGGCACCCAGAGTTTCCACAGGGTGGAGCACATAGGTGTTCAATAAATACTTGTTAAATACTGAATCTACCGGAGGAGTGAATCTCTGTGTGAAATCCTTTGTATATATTGGGTTGATTAAAAAAAAAAGATTGTAGCACAGAACCAGAGACTGGAACTGGAAGGGTTCCAGCGACCCTCCTCAGAACTCTACAGCCTGGCATGGCTTCTGCCTGCCACATCACCCCCCACCCACTGAAGACAGGGCCTGGGTAACTGGTTGATCTGCAATCCCTCTTGGCACTGGATAACTGAAGCTGTCCGGGTTAGGAGGAGGTCAGCAGGAGGAGCTGTGCCAGGCTGGCTGCCCTGGCTGGATGTAGAGCAGGGGCTGCTAGGCTGACAGACTGGTGGGCTGCTAGAAAGAGGGACTGAAGGGGGGCAGGCACCTTTCCCAGATCACTGTCTAGATCACCTGGAAGCTGGGCTTTTCTCTGTGCATGGCCCTGAGTTGCCAGGGTGGGCTGCAGGCAGAAGCACGGCTGTGCTGTGGTTCTCATTCTTTTTTTTTTTTAAACTTATTTTTGGTGTTTGAACTCAGGGCTTCACACTTGCTAGGCAGGCATTCTACCACTTGAGCCATTCTGCCCCAGTCCCTTGTTTTTTATGTTGGGTATTTTCAAGATAGGGTCTCTCAAACTATTTGCCCAGGCTAGTTTTGAACCTCCTGACCTGCCTCCTGCGTAGCTAGGATTATAGACGTGCCCTATCGATGCTAGGCTTCAAACTTTTCTTTTTTTAGCAGGAGATTAAGTAAGGACAGGAACCAGAAACCATTTCAAGCCCCCACAACCATTCGTGAAGGGCATAGAAGTGGGGGCCATCTGGCGTTTTAGCTGCCTACAGGTTATAATGTCCACTGCTGTCTGCCCAGGACCCAACTCCACAAAACTCAGGCCCTCTTAACAAGTGGGCAGCCCACCAACTGCTCTTTCTGTGGTTAGGCTGATGGAGGAGTGAAGGGACAATTACCAAAATAGCAAGCATCAAACTGGAATTGACTTCCTCCTGTCCCCATAGCCCCCTAACCCCCAGAATGACATATATCCAGCCTCTTCCACTCTTCTCTCCCTGAGATGGTATGACTGTGTTTAAGATCTGGAATTTGTGTCACACTCTGGCTCCACTGGTTGTGTAACTGTAGGTGAGTTATTTAACCTCTTGTGTAAAGAGGGGACAATAAGGTTCCCTGCCACATAGGGTGAGAGGCAATTACACATGTGAAGTCTTCAATACATCCCTCCTCTCATTATCAGTGGAGCTCAGACTTTGCCCTGCCTCCTCCCTTCCCCTACCCTTCCTTAGGGGAGAGGTTTTCTTTTTGTCTTTTTTTTTTTTGGTGCTGGGATCGAACCCAGGGCCTCACGCATGCTAGGCAAGCGCTGTACCACCGAGCTACATTCCAGCCCCCCTACCCTTCCTTAGGTCACTCTGTCCAGGCCATCCCTGCCTGCCATCTTGGAAATCTCTGATTAGGCTCCTCCCAGCCAAAAGTTCTTCAGTGCCTCTCCACTTACCTAATTAATAAATTAAACAAGTATTTGTTGAGCGGCTAGGACTGGAATCAGATAAACGAAAATTTCTGTCCTTGCCAGGCTGACTAGGTGTTAACAGTAAAATATTCAGGCTGTCAGACAGTGGGAAGTGCCCAAGAGAGAGAGCAAGGAACACTGGGGACAGAAGGGCAAGAAGGTGACTTTGGAGGAGGAGTGGGGAGGCAGGGGGTAGGCACCTTGCCATCTGAGGGACTAGAATCTCAGGCCAGGGGCTAGCAGATGCCAAGGCTCAGAGGAACTGGAGTGTCTTGGAGACCCTCCAGGAACCAGAGTGTGCAGCACAGTGAGCCAGAGCTCCATGTGGGGACTTTTGGCAGTTCTTGGAGTGAGGTGGGGGCCATGGCAGAGTTTTCAGAGGACTTATTATGACTCCTCTTTTTTTTTTTTTTTTTTTTTGTGCTTACTGGGGTTTGAACTTAGAGCCTACAACTTGAGCCACTCCACCGGCCCTTTCTCGTGATTTTTTTTTTTTTTTTTTTGAGCTAGACGCACTGTTTGTCTGGGCTGCCTTCGAACCTCGATCCTCTTGATCTCTGCCTCCTGAATAGCTAAGACTACAGGTGTGAGCCACCAGCGCCTGGCTTAATGTGACTTCTCTTTGAACAGGGTCCAGTCTGACTGGAGAACTGACAGGATAGGGGCTAAGGAGACCAGCTAGGAGGCCATTGGTAGCATCTAGCTGAGAAGTGACGATGAGGGCAGTGGTGGGAGTTGAAGTTACTGGTCCTAAAGGTGGAGCCAGTGTCTTTTCAGATCGACTGCATAGGGCGTAACAAAGAGCCAAGACTGACCCCAAAGGTTTGGGCCTAATATGTTCATCTCCTGGGGCTGCTCAAACAAGTTAACACAATTGGCTTAGGATAAGAGAAATTCATTCTTTTGTTTTGTTGTTGAGTTTTGGGTTTTTTGTTTTGTTTTGTTGGGTGAGACTGGAACATGAACTCAGGGCTTCCTGCTTGCAAAGCAGGCACTCTACTGCTTTAGCCACCCCTCCAGTTCATTTTGCTCTGCTTATTTTGGAGATGGCGGGGTCTCAAGAACTATTTGCCCAGTGGGCCTTGAGTCTCTATCCTCCTGATCTCAGGCTCCCAAGTAACTAGAGCAATAGGCGAGAGCCACCAGCATCCAGCTTCCTTTTTGTTTTTTGAGCTGTCCTTCCATGTTGTCTAGGCTGACCCCAAATGCCTCAGCTCAAGTCATCCTCCCACGTCAGCCTCCCCAGTAGCTGGGACTACTGTCATGTGCCACCGTGCCCAGCGTTAGAAAATTTTATTCTCTCCCAGTTCTGATGCTCATAGTCTGAATCTGATGTCACAGGGCTGTGCTCTCTCTGAAGGCTGGAGAAGAGGATCCTTCTTGTTTTGTTTTTGGAGATACTGGGGTTTGAACTCAGGGCCTTACACTGAAGCCCCATGTATCCTTCCTTGTTTCTTCAACTTCTGATGACCACCCCCCACCCCCGCCATATTCTTTGGTTTGTAGATGCACCACTCCCTCTCTGCCTCTGTTGTCACACAGTTGTTCTCCTCATGTCATGTGTGTGTCCTGTCTCTTCACTCTTCCTCTCCTCTCCTCTCTTCTCCTCTCCTCCCTTCCCTTCTTTCCTCTCCTTTCTCTGCCTCTCAAGAGTCCTATGTAGCTCAGGCTGGCCTTGAACTTGAGATCCTCCTGCCTCAGCCTCCCTGGTGCCAGGATTAGCCACTGGACAGACATCCTTCTTATACCAGTCATATGTAACTCCATCTCCACTATGGCCAAATCTTTTTTTTCTTTTTATGGTACTGGGGTTTGAACCCAGGGCTTTGAGCTTGCTAGACAGGTGTTCTACCACTTGAGCCACACATCCAGCTCCCCTATGCTCAATCTTAACTCATTTTACTTGCATTGGCTCTATTTCCAGTTAAGATCACATTCAGAGGTGTTGGACATTAGGGCCTGATGTATCTCTTGAAAGGGACACAAAATTCAAAATGTAGGACTTGCAGGTATTAAATTAAGATGGAGGGAATTGCAGGGAGAAGTCAGGAGTGCGGGAGGGGTAGAGAGGTAGATGGTGAGTTTGAGATGCTAGTTAGAATCTAGGAGTGGTGGTGCACACCTGTAATCCCAACATCTGGAGGCTGAGGCAGGAGGATCGTAAGTTCAGGGCCAACCTGTACAACATAATCAGAATCTGTCTTAAAACAAAACAACCAAAAGAACCCAAGAGGACAGTTGAGAAAGTGGCTCTAAAGTCAGTCAGGAGCTCCAGGCTGACCAGTTTTTTGTTTATGTTTTTGTTTTTGTGGTACTTTTTGGTTTGCGCTTAGGGGCTTATGTTTGCTAGGCAAGTACTCTGTCACTTGAGCCATGCCCTCAGCCCAAGATGCAGTTGGAAGTCATGAGACTGGATGAGCCCCTTGGGACAAAAGTGGAAGAAATAGGAATAGGTACCAGAGGGGAGGGGAGCAGGAAGCAGCTGGGAGACTGACAAGTGGGAGGGGGCCCAGGGGACTGAGGAAGAAGGTGTTTCCAGAGGCCACCTGTGTCCAGTACTCAGTCACATGGGAATGGATCAGTCCACTGAGCAAGTTGGGGATGTTGGTGACAGGAGAAGAGTGTCTTTGGTGACTTGAGCCTGGTGCAGGGGTGAGGGGGTGAGAGAGAATGGAGAATTAGAAAATCCCCCTTGCCTGATTGATTCAGGCAAGAACTGTCGGTGTACGCGAAAGCCGTTCCTTTTGGTAACTGAGGTTACCAGGGAACAAGACAAAGTGTTACCCACACATTCCTCACTAATAATGCGGAGAAAAAGGGACTTTGTAAGGTGCAATGAGATCCCCAAATGATCTGGCATCATGGGGGAGCAGAAGAGAACAGTCAGCTCTGTGGTGTCTCAGCCTAGATACTCAGGCTGAAATTGCTTGAGGGTCTCCAGAGGCAACCACGTGGAGGTGATTTGATGCTTCCAAAATGTCAGTATCAAAAAGAGAAAAAAACAAACGAAGAACAAATTAGTCCTATGTGAACCTTGACTGGAACCATGACTCACTCAGCTGGCAAATGTGAACACAGAATACAGATGGACGTAAAAGTTGTTTTCCAAGTGCAGCCATTCTGTGGGACTCTGTAGGAAAATGTCCTTGCCAGGTGCAGTGCAGTCTGGAACAGAATTGTTTAAGCCCAGGAACTGGAGACCAGACTGGGCAACACAGTGAGACCCCATCACAAAGGCGGGAAAAAAAGAGGAGTGGGGTGATGAGAAAGAGAACGAGGGAAGGCAGATGTGATGGAATCAAGAAGGCATTCTTTCAACTTTCTATAGGTGTGAAATATTTTAAAACAAAAACTGGGAAAAGTGAAGAGACAGGGGAGAGACTGGGAAGTTATGAGTACAGAGACCTCTGTACAGCTTCACTGCAACAGGAAGGAGCAGATGCTGGAGGGGGAAGTGGGGGTCAAGACTCTGTTTATAAGGCAGAGGAACAGCGTGCTGAATGGCAATGGGAGTGATCCAGTGCAGAGGAACCTTGACCGTGGAGGACTTGGGAGAATCTAGGGGCTGTCCTGCACCCAGCCAGAGGGCAGACCTAGGAAGGACTTGCCTCAGATTGGAAAGGGGCCAATCACGGCAAGTCCCGCAGCCTTGGGCAGGTGGCCGGACATGGAGGTGGGAGCCCGTGGGCCTCCTTCTTCTGGCTTCTGTTTTTCTGGAAACCCCTGATGCAACATACCTGCAGGGAGTGCATAGGGCTGGTCCATCAGAGGTTGGAGGGCAGAGAAGATATGACCGAAGGGTGAGGGCCTGGGTGGGCAACAGGGGTCGGGGGGCCTGCCAGAACTCAGGGCATTCTGGTGCCAACACTGAGTGACACAACTAAAGAACAGCCCTCAGCTTCATTTTTTTGTTTGTTTGAGACAGGATATCTATGTAGCTCAGGCTGGCCTGGAACTCCTGCCTCAGTTTCTCAAGTGCAGGGATTACAGGTGGTGTACCACAATACCCAGCTTCCAGGCTTCATTTTCGGGGGGTCTTTCCTGCTTGTGCACCAGGGAGAGGCCTTGGTTTTTTTTTTTTCTCAGTATATGAATTTGTTAGTTTTCATCTACTGAACAGCCGCTTTCAACGATACCAGAAATTATTGTATTTAAAGAAAAATTCCTTAAAGACATTAGTTTCTACAAATATCCTCTAAGACAAGAGGCCTTGGTTTTTGTTGTTGTTTTTGTTTTTTTGGCAGCACTGGGGTTTGAACTCAGGGCCTCACACTTGCTAGACAAGCACTCTCACTGCTTGAGCCACTCCACCAGCCCAGGAAAAGGCCTTGGGAGTCCTTACTTCATTGCTATTCCTTTGAAGTCTTCAGAGCAGGTTGTGTTTTTCTCTGCAGCCCTAGGAAAGATTATCCAAATGAATGAACCCCAGCATAAGGCACCCCACTGGGGAAGATGGCTGGATGACCAGAGGCAGTCCCATCAGTGCCTGGCAGTGATCCAGGCAGCAGGTGCGTCTGTTTGTGAGGTCCAGCTCGACCCACCTCCCATCCTTCACCCACAGGTATGTCATCACGCTGACTGCCAGCAGCTGCACCGTCGGGGGCCCCTCAACCTCTGTGAGGCCTGTGACAGCAAGTTCCACAGCACTGCATATTATGACGGGCACATTCGCTTTGACTTGCCCCCCCAAGGTGAGCACTGGAGGGGCCCATCCTGGCCCTAGGACTCCCAGGGCAGCTTGGAACCTCCGTATGGAGAGGGACAGTGTTCTACTAACCATTTGATCCTTGTTAGGGCCATGGAAAGCACAAGAGTCATCTGTAGATAATAAACCCAGAGACTGGTAGAGTAGTTCAAGTGGTAGAGTGCCTGCCTAGAAACCATGAGGCCCTGAGTGCAAACTCCAGTACTGAAAAAAAGAAAAAAAAGTAAAGTTTAGCTGGGTGCCAGTGGCTCACACCTGTAATCCTTGCTACTCAGGAGGCAGAGATCAGGAGGATCGATGTTCAAAGCCAGTCCGGGCAAATAGTTCGTGAGACCCTATATGGAAAAAAAACCATCACAACAATGGGCTGGTGTAGTGGCTTAAGGTGTAAGCCCTGAGTTCAAACCTAGTACCGCAAAAAAAAAAAAGAAAAAAAAGAAAAAACAAGACATGTGATGATTCCTTTGTTTTCACAAGTTTTTTGTGGCAAAACAATCTGGGGACTGGGCCCTGTCTCTAGGGCAGATGTCTCTTTCAGGCTGTATTATTCTCCCTGGCTCTTGCCTCCCACAACTGCCTCTGCCCCTGGTGGGGGCCATCATAGTGAAGGTCCCTTTCTTCCTGGCCCTGGCTGTCCTCAGGGCTGGGGATATCTGGCAGATCCTCCATGCCACGCTGTCAGCCTCGCAGAGGCTGGTGGGACAGCAGGTCAGAAGGAACTTGTAGCAGGAAATAAGAAACCCCTCCTGCTGAATAGGGCTGGCCCGGCCCACTGCCAACTGGCTGTAAGGTACCCAGGCCTGGAGAGAAATGCCACCTCTTGTCTCCTTTCCCAGAGGGACAAAAGGACTCTCCCCCTCTGCCAGGGCCCCCAGGACTTCAGGTGATCACAGCAGTGGGGGAGGGGAGGCCTGAAAGGAGAGCCCTGGACTTTGGTCCCTGCCTGCAGCAATCACAGAAGCAGGACTTCATTACCCTTGTTATGGAAGGGTAAACTGAGGCCATAGGTGGGTTTGTATTTGGGGTGGGGCATCACTTGGGGTGTCATCCCAGGGTCTTTTCATCCTTTTGGGTCTGGGGGCATGGATAACAATGACTGGTCCCTCTCCTGGCAGAACTGAACGGCTCTAGCTAATTGGTATTGGTGACAGTCCTAGGGGTCCTGGTCTGTATCCCTCTGGAGGTGACCATATTCAAGGGCTAAGGAGAGGCCAGGGAGAGAGCAACCACAACCCCCTCCCTCTGTCCTCAAAGGGTCTGTTCTGGCCCGGAATGTGTCCACCCGGTCGTGTCCCCCTCGTACCAGCCCTGCAGTGGACCTGGAAGAGGAGGAGGAAAGCTGTGTGGATGGCAAAGGGTAGGTGGGGAATAAGTGGGTGGGGAAGCCACCACAGGGAGAGACCCAGGGACCAGACCAGAAGGGCTGATGGCAGACCCCTTTCCTGCCCCTGTAGTTGCTCTGATTCCTAGAAGTGGCTGAGACAGCCCCATCAACCTGTAGGGTGGCTGGGATGCACTCCTACCTTACTGGGTACCATTGTGTGTGGCTCCCGTGTTGGCCACCAGAGGGCGCACAATCATATGTGGGCCTGGCTTGCATGTGCAAGCATCCAAATTACTTGTCACCTGGAATGAGCAAGGGGTGGGAGAGACCATCAAGGCCCCCACTCACAGTCCACCCAGGTGAGGGCCAAACTACACCTCTAGTGTCTGCCCTAATTGCTTCCCTTCAGGGACCGGAAGAGTACAGGCCTGAAACTCTCCAAGAAGAAAGCAAGGAGGAGACACACCGATGTAAGGAGGCCCCAGTGCTGGCAGATGGGGGCTCACAGACAGCCCCACACCTCCCAGACCCTTGCCTTTTTCTGAGGCTGGGCTTCTCTGCTCTGAACTCCAAGATCAGGGATGGGGTCTGGAGTAAGCATGTCCCTCCCCTGCCTCCCTGCCCTGCAGCCCAGCACTACCCACCTAGCCAGGTTGGGCTGGGGCTCCAGGAGCTCCTTGTGCAGGGGGTACATTGGGGGGCCTCACTGAGATGGTGAAGATCTGGGGAGATCCCTGGCCTTCACTTCCTTGTTGGGCTTCTCATCCTGGACCATAAGGTGGAGGAGGTAGGGGACAAGGTGTAGCAGTGGAGAGGCTAACAGACTCATGTCCTCTCAGGACCCAAGCAAGGAGTGCTTCACCTTGAAATTTGACCTGAATGTGGACATTGAGACAGAGATTGTACCAGCCATGAAGAAGAAATCACTGGGGTAGAGCTTGGTGGAACTGAGGGCAGAAGTGGGGTAGGGCTAGGGACAGGTGTGGCCTCCCAGGTCAGAGGCTCTAGTCCTCTGCGTGTGTGTGTGTGTGTGTGTGTGTGTGCGCGTGACGTGCGCACATCCTCACCTGTGGGTAGGCACATGGATCTGCATACCCATACAAATGAACAGGACAGGATCTGTACACTTGTGCATCCTAAACCTGTATGCAGGGCCTTGGCCCTGTGTGCAGCTATGCCTGTGTGAGCTCTGGGGGCAGGTGTCTGTGTACCTGTGTGTGACCCTCTGTGTGCCTTCCTTTTGTGTGTGTGTGGACCAGTGGATCTGGGGCTGTGGATGGGACAGGGGCTGGCGTGATTGTCCTAATGTGCACACCTTCCTCCTGGGGCAGGGAGGTGCTGCTGCCTGTGTTTGAAAGGAAGGGCATCTCACTGAGCAAGGTGGATATCTACCTGGACCAGTCCAACACACCCCTGTCTCTCACCTTTGAGGCCTACAGGTTCGGAGGACACTACCTGCGGGTCAAAGGTGAGCAGGAGGCTCCTCAGGCCACCTGGCTGGGTGAGGTGGCTGGAGCCTGGTAGATCCTCATGGAGATGAGAACTCTTCCTGGGCTCAGGTTCCCATTGGCTATGGCTCTGAGCAGGCTCATTACCATACAGGTGTCTCTGCTGGGTGCTGGTGGCAGGTGCTGGCAGGGTGGAGCTCTGGGGGAAGGCAACCAGGCCTGAGCTTGGATCCTGCAGGGAGAGAGGACTGGGGCCCCTTGTCCCCAGACCTGGGTGCTTAGGACCTCTTGTTACCCCCACATGCCACCCCAGCCAAGCCAGGGGACGAAGGCAAAGTGGAGCTGGGAGTGAAGGACTCTAAGTGCCTGAGTTTGCCAATCCTGCGGCCAGCTGGGGCTGGGCCCCCTGTGTTGGAGCGTGTGGACCCTCAGTGCCGCCGGGAGAGTCTCGACATCTTGGTGAGGAGGAGGGGCTTTCAGGGCTAGGGGTGGAGCCCAGGTGAGACTCATGGCCCTTCCTTACTCAGGGGAAAGTCACCCTGGATCCCTCACTGCCCCCTTTTGGGACTATAAGTCCCAAAAAGATGGGGCTGTCTGTGAGTATAAGAACCCTCTGTGGATCTCACCATAGCCCCAAGATGACGGGAGTCTTTTAGTGCTCAGGGGGTTGGAGAGTGTGTGTATGTGTGTGTAAGAGAGAGGAGAGAGAGAGAGAATGTATTTGTGTTGAGGAGTGAGTCCTGGAAACCATTTGAAGCCATGCTTGTAGGCGCCTCTGATTGTGTCTGCAACTGTGTTTCTTCCCATCTTCTGGCTGGGTGGCTGGGACAATAGTGCCCGGGACTCTGTGTCTGCACTAGCCAGCCCCGCAGAGCACATCTGGGTGTCAGTAGAGGTGGGACTTCAGAACAGGAGTACAGAGACCTTCCTACATCCCAGGCTGGCCTGAGGTCCTGGAAACCCTTGTGGGTAGGGATGTGGAAGTTGGTGAAGGGCTGGCCTTGATCACCCTTCCCTGACCAGGCCCCTGGCCGCCGACGAAAGAACATGTCAGAGTTCCTGGGGGAGGCGAGCATCCCGGGGCAGGAGCCCCCCACACCTTCCAGCTGCTCTCTGCCCAGTGGTAACAGTGGTGGTACCAGCAGTGGAGGCAACGACAGCTGGAAGAATCGGGCAGCCAGTCGCTTCAGTGGCTTCTTCAGCTCAAGCCCCAGCACCAATGCCTTTGGCCGGGTATGTGGCCCATGGGCAGGGTAGCTAGCTGGCCTTGATCCTGACCCTGATCCTAGGTCTCCTTCCAGGAGGTAGACAAGATGGAGCAGCTGGAGGGCAAGCTACATGTCTACAGTCTCTTTGGGCTGCCCCGGCTGCCCCGGAGGCTACGCTTTGACCACGACTCCTGGGAGGAGGAAGAAGAGGATGAAGATGAGGATGAGGACACCGGCTACCTGAAGCTGGAGGACAGTTGGCGGGAGCTCATTGATGGTCATGAGGTGGGCACAGCTGTATCCCTTCCTCTTCCTGCTCATGTGTGAAAGAGGGATCTTGTGAGGACTCAGTGACAGGATATTCAATGGCACATCCCCGAGAGGCTGTTCCCACTTTGGGGAAACTGAGGCTAGACGAAAATGGTGTGCTGTTTGGCTGTTTTAGTGGCAGAGGAGGGCCCCAGATCTTGGGTGTCTTGATTATGACAGTCCACATGATTGTGGCCTGCTTTCTCAAGAACCTCTGTGGCCCCATCAGGAAAACGAGGAAGTTGTATTCAGGGTTGCCCACCCTCCCCTTTCCCTATAGGGAAGGCCTACTCTACTCTCCCTCTCTCTAGAAGCTGACCCGGCGGCAGTGCCACCAGCAGGAGGCGGTATGGGAGCTCCTGCACACAGAGGCCTCCTACATCAGGAAACTTGGGGTGATCACCAATGTAAGTGTGGGGTCCCATCAGCCACCCCACATACCTGCCCCAGTGTCTCTTTCTGGTCAGTCCCTCAGCTGAGTCTGGGCCTTTGTAGAAGGAGTGGGTACCCAAGAATGATGGAGTGGGGCAGGAGTCAGAGAAGGCCTGCCCCAGTTAGGTTATTCCCATAGGCACCTGGGAGGAAACTTCAGGCTAGTTGGCCAGGTTAAGCTGAATTAATACAGGTGAGCCCTTATTCTTTCATTTGTTCAATGGTTATTTCTGAACACCTGCTATGTGCCTGGTGCCCAGGAGCCCACACCCTAGGTGGGACAAGATAAGTAAGCACAGGATAAGTAGGGATTTCAACTCTGGGAGGGGAGCTCCTGTCCTGGGCGTGGTGGCTCAAGGAAGTCAGGCTTCCTGGAGGAAGAATGTACCTCTGAGGGAAACTCCTTAGGCTGAATCAGGACAGAGGTGGGGGACAAAATTGCAGGTGTGGCTGTCTCACCAGCTTCCCTCCCTGTGGAGCCAGGCAGGGTGACATGCTTGGGGGAGGGGGGCTGGAATTCCTAGGTGTGAAGCCACCCTCTTTATCCCTGGCTGCTTCAGGGTTTCCCAGGGGTAGGGGAAGGGTAAGAGTCTGGATGGAGCTTCAGGGCCGAAATGTCCCCTGCTCCCACAGCTGTTCCTGTGCTGCCTCCTCAACCTGCAAGAGTCGGGGCTACTGTGCGAGGTGCGGTCTGGCCTGGGGCAGCGGCGGGGGAGGTGGCTAGAAAGGAGGGATGGGGTCTGTCAAGGGGATGGGGCGGGGCACAGGCCAAGAGGGGCGGGGCGGGGCTAGCCAGGCGGAGTGGGTGGGGAGATGGGCGGGGCCGACGGCACCTCCCGTCCCGCCCAGGTGGAGGCGGAGCGCCTGTTCAGCAACATCCCCGAGATCGCGCGGCTGCACCGCGGGCTGTGGGGCAGCGTGATGGCGCCGGTGCTGGAGAAGGCCCGGCGCACGCGGGCGCTGCTGCAGCCCGGGGACTTCCTCAGATGCTTCAAAATGGTACGGCGCAGGCAGGGCCACTGAGACAGGACCGGAGCGCTGAAAAGGCCCTGTAACCGGATCCCGTCTGCCCATCACCCTTAACTCTCCCTAACCCTAACCCCAGGTGACCCCTATGACCAAAGGCGAGAATTACGTACATGTCTGTCGCCTAGGTGTGAAACCCCACTTGGCCATTTACCGTTGCCACCTGGCTATGGGTGGTCAACGCCCGCTGAGGCTCAGTTTCTTCACCTGGAAACAGGAATATTAGCTTGCCTTCCCCTCGGGGTGGTCGCGGGAGCGCAGTGAGAAAGCGCTTCTGTAGCGCCTGGCGTGGGCCGGCCGGCTAGAAGCGCTGGGTAACCGCTGCTGTGGTTGTTCTGCCTTGGGTCAGTTCGGCTCCCTCTTCAAGCCCTACGTCCGGTACTGCATGGAGGAGGAGGGCTGCATGGAGTACATGCGCGGCCTGCTGCGCGACAACGACCTGTTCCGCGCCTATGTCACGGTGAGGGCTGCTGGGGCGCAGCGGGGCGAGGGACGCGGGATCCTGGCCCCAGCTGCGTGGGCGTGGCCTGACCTGAGCCCCGCCTCCCCGCTGCAGTGGGCGGAGAAGCACCAGCAATGCCAGAGGCTGAAGTTGAGCGACATGCTGGCCAAGCCCCATCAGCGGCTCACCAAATACCCGCTACTGCTCAAGTCTGTGCTGAGAAAGACTGACGAGCCGCGTGCCAAGGAGGCCGTGGTCACCATGGTAACACGAACAGTAGGCGGAGTACCCCCCCGCCCGCCCACGGTTCTCTGTAGCTCTCTGACCCTGGATCTAAAGGCCCCTGTCCCCAGATCAACTCGGTGGAACGCTTCATTCACCATGTGAACGCATGCATGCGGCAGCGACAGGAGCGGCAGCGGCTGGCCGCCGTGGTGAGCCGAATTGACGCCTATGAGGTAGTAGAGGGCAGCAACGACGAGGTGGACAAGGTGGGCATGTGTGTCCATGAGGAGGGTCCTCAGCCCGGCTGGGAGGGAGGAAGGGCCAAAATGACAGACAGGAGTGATGCTGGGAGTCTCACTTGAGGCCTCCTAGCTGAAATGGGGAATCAGGCCCTGACCTCCCCTATATCTGCAACCCACCCTCAGCTCTTGAAGGAATTTCTGCATCTGGACTTGATGGCCCCCATCCCTGGTGCCTCCCCAGAGGAGACACGACAGCTGCTGCTGGAGGGGAGCCTGAGGATGAAGGAGGGGAAGGACAGCAAGGTGACTCTTGCTTTATAGGATGGACTATCCTTCCTGGGAGCCTCTTGAACCTCAGTCAGTGGTTCTTAGCTACCTAGTCAGTTAAGTGATGACCCAAGAGCTAGTGACTGTGGTCATAGGGAGGGGTGTTACCTGCCTGTAGTTTACAAATACAGCAACAGGATCATAATCCATGGAGGTGGCAGTGGCAGGGAGGGGCATGTTCCAGAGCCTTGCTGCTGTGTGTTAACCCTGCTGGCACCTGGTAGCCAAAAGCCTGCAAACCAATGATCTTTAAGTCACTTCACTTTTTGTTTCTTTTTATTTTGATATTTGAGGGCAGGAGCTCTACCACTTCAGCCACGCCTTCAGCCCTTTGTGCTCTATTTATTTTGGAGATAAGGTCTCACTTTTTGCGCAGGCTGACCTTGAGATAGGGGTCTCAGAAACTTTTTGCCCAGGTTGGTCTAGAACCGCAGTCCTTCCAATCTCAGCCTTGCTGTTGGGATGACAGGAAGAGCATGTCCAACTATTGGCTGAGGGCTAAAAGTGTGGCTCAAGCAATAGAGTGCTTGCCTAGTAAGTGTGAAGCCCTGAGTTTAAACCCCAGTACTTCTAAATAAATAAAAATAAATAAATAAATAAATAAATAAATAAAAATAAAAATAAAACTATCTGCCCACATAGGAATGGAACTGAGATCCTCTGGATCCCAGCTTTCCAAGTAGCTAGGACTACAGGTGTGAGCCATGGATACCCGGCTCCCTTTTCTTTTTAATATAAACTGTGATTGAAATAAATTGTAAATGTGTGTCTCAATGAAAGAAAATCATCTTCCTTTTCATTTTAATTTTACTCAAAGGCTCATAGTGGGGGGGAAGGGCAGTGTTTGACAAAAACAGTGCTCCAAGCAGAAGGTGTTACGGCAACCCAGGACCCTGGCTCTGACCTCCACGGCCTCTCCTGCTCCCCCATCCCAGATGGATGTGTACTGCTTCCTCTTCACTGATCTGCTTTTGGTGACCAAAGCTGTGAAGAAGGCAGAGAGGACCAAGGTCATCAGGCCACCACTGCTAGTGGACAAGACTGTGTGCCGGGAGCTTCGGGACCCTGGTGAGCATCTCTGACCCCCTGCTCTTGGGCAGGGGCTGTGATGGGCAGGAACTCTGATCTTGGCTGACGCTGAGGCGGGCCTTCCCTGACTAGGTTCCTTCCTTCTCATCTACCTGAATGAGTTCCACAGTGCCGTGGGAGCTTACACATTCCAGGCCAGTGGCCAGGCCTTGTGCCGTGGCTGGGTGGATGCCATTTACAATGCCCAGGTGAGAACAGAATGGTGTGGGGGAGGCAGGACAGAGTGAGGGGGCTCTGGACCACATTCTGTCATTCTGTTCCTGTGCCTGCCCACCCCTACCTGTAGAACCAGCTGCAGCAGCTGCGTACACAGGAGCACCCAGGTAGCCAGCAGCACCTGCAGAGCCTGGAAGAGGAAGAAGATGAACAAGAAGAGGAAGAGGAGGATGAGGAGGAAGGTGAGGAGAGCAGCACCTCAGGGGCCAGCTCTCCCACCATCCTGCGCAAGAGCAGCGACAGCCTTGACTCCCAGCACTGGTATGTTTGCTCAGCACCACCTAGCAGGTCCCAGGAGGGCAAGTGCTGTAGCTCAGGACTCCTGCTCCAAGGCCAATGACACTGGGCAGGGCCCAACCATGTCCCCTTCCCCCTTCATCTGGGTAGCCTCATGTTGTAAACCCAGTGGGGGTATTGGGGACAGCTCTGCCTTCCTCAGAGACCAGGCAGGGAGGAGTTTTCACTTCGCATGCCCATTCTGATCCATCAGAGGTGGTTATCTGGAGCCCTGTGCTAAGGCTACTTAGATCAAGAAAGACTGCTGGGATCCATTACTGATGTCTGTTGTGGGCAGAGAGACTAGAAGATCTCTGAGCTTTGAGCCCCTGGGGGTAGAGGCTGTAAACCCCTGTGCATTGCCTGTTCCAGGCCTTCTAGGCCTCCTCTGGCTGGACTGACTCTCCTCCCCATCCTATAGTGCCTCTGACGGTTCCACAGAGACCCTGGCCATGGTTGTGGTGGATCCTGGGGAGACGGTCTCCTCCCCTGAGCTTGACCGTGGCCCCTTCAGCTCCCAATCAGACGAGACCTCTCTGAGTACCACTGCCTCATCTATCACGCCCACCAGTGAGCTGTTGCCCCTGGGCCCAGTGGATGGGCGCTCCTGTTCCATGGACTCTGCCTATGGCACCCTGTCGCCCACTTCTCTGCAAGACTTTGTGGCCCCAGCCCCTGTAGCTGAGCCGGTGTCCCGGCCCCCAGAGTTATCACAAACCCCTTCATCTCCACCCTCACCTCGACTCCGCCGCTGCACCCCTGTCCAGCTGCTGCCTCGCCTGCCCCACCTGCTCAAATCCAAATCTGAGGCGAGCCTCCTCCAGCTGCTGTCGGGGGCTGCCACCCATGGAATGTCGCCAGCTCCCAGCCGCAGCCTCTCAGAACTCTGTCTGGCTGCTACAGCCCCTGGTGTTAGGACTCAAGATTCCTCTCAGGAAGCTGGGCCTGGCTGGGATTGCCCAGGAGCACCTAGCGCTGGCAATGGCTCTGAGCCATCAGAGCCCGAGGGCAGAGCCAGCAGCCTGGCTGGAGAACCTACATTCCCTGCAAGGAGGAGATGCAAAGAGCTGCCCTCTGGGGCTTCTCCCAGGGTTCAGCCTGAGCCCCCCCCAGGGATCTCTGCCCAGCACAGGAAGCTAACTCTGGCCCAGCTCTATCGAATCAGGACCACCCTGCTGCTTAACTCCACACTTACTGCCTCGTGAGTTGCCTGGCTGGGGTAAGGGGCAGGTGACTCAGTGTGCATAGGTGGCACCAAGTCATGACCCAGCGCATTGGCATTTGAGCAGGGGGTGGGAGGAGAGAGAGCCTTAGACCTGCCTCAGTTCCCTGGCAGCAGGCAGTACTGAAGGGGCCTGAGGATCAAGGTGGAGAAGAAAGGGTGGCCAGAACCACTGTGAATGGCACTAGCCAAGGAAGGTCTGTCTCTCCCCACCCTTGCAGGGAGGTCTGAGCAGAAGGAGACTTCCCAGGGTGCCGCTGACCAAGGGACAGCTGACAGGATTTCTCCTGGGGTGTGTGGCACCTATTTCAGCTGCTGCATCATGTGCATGAACCAGAGTGCCAGGCAGGATGCCTGCCTCCCACCCCAGGGCCGATTTGCACTTTGCCAAACTGGATGGAACGGAGAAGGGCTCAGTAGAGCCCCGGGCCCAGCCTACAGTGCATCCCCTCCTTGCCTAGGCAGTCCCTTGTGCCCTGCTCCTGAAGCTACCAGCTCTAATGGTCTGGACTGGGCTCCGAGGGTGCCCTTCCCACCAACACCCTTATCTGGCCTCAAATAGGATGAACCCTATCCCCCAGCCCCCTCCCTCCTGGTCTGCTAACCACCCTAGGTTTGGGTTGGGCTGTGTAGAGCTGTGTATTTATTGAGCTTTGATTCTTTTTATAAAGACTTGTGTTTGCTCCCCTGGAGCCCACCTTCTTCTCTGCTCAGGTGCACTGGGGCTCCTGGGCTGTTCTCTGTTCTGTGCTGCTCCAGCTGCAGTGGGGACAGATGTAAGACACTGTGGAAAGCTGCCATGCAGTAATAGGGTGGGGGTGTCTCAGGGCCAACACCCTAGACCAAGCCTGTTTCCTGCCACAGCCATCAGAGCCCTTACGGGATGGCTTAGAGCTCTGTCCTTGCCACCCCCCGCCCTCCCCAAGCTCACACACCTCTAAGTTTATGTCAGGGTAGCTGACTTGTCTCAGGCTCTACTGAGGGTCCCCCCTAGAACTCACACCCAGATACTCTGGGGAAGGTAGGTCTTCCACCTGAGTACCCTCAGGTACTTTAAGCCCAACCCTCTTCACAGCACCTGAGCCCTGAAGCCCCAGAGAGAAGTCACTTGCCCTGACTCCACCTCTAAATGGTGGGTTGGGGCTAGACCCAGGGAGTGGGGTTGGGATGCGGCCTGTCCTATGTGGGCCTTCTCAAAGCGCACAGGCCAGCCGTCGGCGTCAGGTGAGCGCAGCTGCCCTAGGGTCCCAGGGCTCAATCCGGCAGGGGGGGAGTCCCGCTTTGTTTCCAGGGGACTGCGGGCCCCTCCCAGGCCGTCCCTGAGGCGGGCTCTACTCCAGGGCGCAGGGCGGGCCCTGCAGGCACCCGGCTTTGCGCGGAACGCTGCGGGCGCTGGCCCTGCGGGGAAGCCCCGGGTCGGGTCGCGCACGCCCTCGGAGGGCCCAGGCGGCGCAAGCGGCCATGGAACGGTGGCCGCGGGGCTGCGTGGCGGTGGGGGCTGCTGCGGTGAGTGGGGACGCGGGAGGTGGGGGGGGGCAGCTTCGAATCTACCTCCAACCCAAGTACCGAGCGCCTGGCGAGGGAAGGGGGCCTCTCCGGCCTCCCCGAGGGCCGCACCCTCCCTCGACCTAGTTAAAGGCTCCCGCCGGCGGCGCCCTTCCGCTGAAAGGAAATACCCTGCCCCCAGGCCAGAGGGGTCTGGGGGCCCCATCTCACTGAAAGCACAGGTGGGGGTGGGGTAGGATTTGGGCCCTGCTGGAGGGGAAATGTGTAAGGGGCTGGTAGGGCCCCTCCCGGCCCCTTCCCAGCTTGGCCTATGCACAAGGGGGAGGGAAGCTGGTCCCACTGCCCCAGCCACTGCACCCTTTCTGCCCAGGATCCTAAAGTGGGGAGCTCTGAGTGTAAATGTTGGGGCCCCTGCAATGGAGGAGCCTGGGCAAGGAGAGGCCCCTCATGGGGCCACCACATGGGAGTCAGCAGCACCTGTCTCCCAGGCTCTCCTCCTGCTGCTGGGTGTCCAGGGCCAGGGCAGCACTCTTGGCCCCAGGTGTGACTGTGCCAGTGACTCCCAGAAGAGGTATGGCCAGTTTTGTTGCAGGGGCTGTCCAGTGGGTAAGTGACCACAGGGTGGAAGGGACAGGGGGGGAATGAGGGCAGACTCTGGGTAGGTGAGGATTAGGCAGGCTGGGAGTGGGTAAGGGGAAGCTAGGGTGCCAGGTAGGGTGGGAGGGAAGTAGGAAGCCGGAGATAGGAGGGGAAGGAGGGAAAGGTGGAGAGCAGGCTGGGTGTTTCTGAGCAGCCCCCTTTGACAAATTCCTGATTGGGTTTCACAGGGCACTACTTGAAGGCTTACTGTACAGAGCCCTGTGGCAACTCCACCTGCATTCCGTGTCCTCAGGGCACCTTCTTGGCCAGGGAAAACCACTCTCAGACTCGATGTATCCGCTGCCAGACCTGTGATGAGGAGGGTGAGGGGTTGCCCAGGACTCAGTTGGGGGATTCTCGAGGACAGGCCATGGCTAGGTTCTTTCTGAAGGAAGTGGCTGGTCCTCAAACCCCTCCATCCTAATCCTGACTAAGATGCCTTTGCACCTTTCTCTTCCTGGTGACCCTCTGTCTCCATGGGCCTTGTTCTCTGGTCTACTATGATCTGACTCTTTCCCTTTTAGTCTAGCCCTTGTCCCTCTGGCCTGTCCCTGTCTCCATTCTGTGGGGGATCCATTCTGTGGGGATCTGCCCGTGCTTTTCCATGGGGGTCTCTGGCCCTGACCACCTCTGTACTCCCCATTTCCCTGCCCCTGTCCTACTCTCCAGCCTCCCAGGTGGCCCTGGAGAATTGCTCAGCAGTGGCAGACACACAGTGCGGCTGTGAGCTGGGCTGGTTCATGGACTGCTTAGCTAAGCCCTGCAGGGAAAATTCACCCTTCCGCTGCCTTCAGTGCAAAAACTATGAGGTCCTGAGCTCCCCCACACAGCTGCCCTGTGAGTACCCCATCCTGGGTTGTCCGCCCCGCAGCGTCTTCTCCCAGCCTCTCCTCTCCCATTCTGATCCCCACCATCTCTTGGACTGCAGTTTCTGGCAGAGACAACAGATGTGTACACTGTCTACCTGGCTTCTATGAACATGGTGGTAGCTGCATGTCCTGTCCCACGTAACTTCCTGGCTGTCCTGGGCTGGAGGGCAGGGAGCCTGGGAGTGGGGTGGGGGCTTTGAGGGTAGGTACTGCTGGTTTAGGAGTAGAAAGAGATACTGGGGAGGAAAGAGCTTGACCCTGTGGTGGGTGGGCCTCATTTCAAAGAGGCATAGGATGGTAATGGGAAATCTGTATTCACCTATGTGAGATAAATAAAGGAATGTATCTTCACTTTCTATAGACGTTTTCTTAGTAATCCATCCAGCCCAGTATCTGGGATGGATTTGTCACTTCTGTAGACGTCACACTGATAGAGCTTCAGGATTTGGACTCAGATGCAGTTTTGCTGCCAGTTCTTGAGCAATCTCAAAGGAATAACCTCTCTGATCTGGGGCTTTCTGTCTGAACATGGGTGTGCCAGTAGTTCTTTTGGGACTGTGATAAGGGAAAGGGCACCGTACTCATTTAGCCATCCAAGTCTTTGAATATCTGCCATTCCCCAGATGCTATTCTAAGTGTTGGGGCTACACAGGGGATGAAAAAGGCAAAAAAAATCCTTGTTTTCAAGGAATCTAGTCTAGAAGCTCAATAAATAATAGTGATTGATGCTAGGGACACAAGTGGAATTTCAGAAGTACTTTGGGAACATTCTTAAGCATTGTGGGGCTCATAGAAGAGAGGCCTGGGGAAGAAAAGGCCTGCAGGATGGGGAAGCTGTCAGGTGGTCCTGGGCAGCCCTCCCGGTGTGTGCTCCCTCTGCTCTCAGCTCCCTTCCCCTTACAGGAGTGTCTTCGGGAACTGTCCAGAGCCTTGTGCTGCCATCTGTGGCTGGAGGCAGAGTAGGTGGTGTGCTGGGAGTGGGAGAGCTGGGGAGAGGCTGGTGGGTGGCCACCCCAGCACCCACTAACTGCTCTTTCAGTGTTCTGGGTGCAGGTGCTTGTGGCTGGTCTAATTGTCCCACTCTCGCTCGGGGCTGCCCTGATCTACACATATCGCTGCTGCCAGCCTCACAAGCCTATGATTCCTGGTAAGTCCACAGATACAGCCCACAAATACTCCCAGAAGCCTGTGGTTAGGATGGGTGCTCCAGAGTCTACTCAACCCTGATACATAAGAGGAAACAGGCAGGGAGTGTGGGGTGCAGAAGAACCCAAGAGGAACTGGACCAGCATTTAGATCCAGGGGCCTTGCCTGATCAGACCCTCTTTGTCAGCAGACACAGCTGGGACAGAGCCCCTGACTCCACCACAGGTAAGAATCTCAGTACATAATTGGAAGAGGGCTGCTTTCTGGAACTAGGAGACTTAACCATGTCCCCAGTTGACACAGCAGCTGACACAGGTTAGGTCTAATGTGCAAATATATGAAGAACTGAGTTATCAGTGGATTGGACCAGCACAGCACCTGTCCTCAGTCTGCTGGTGGGTGGGGGGACGGGGGTTGGTCCAGACAAGTATGCAGGTGCTAACATTCAGAGGGATGAGCGCCTCTGAGGGATGGAGGAACAAGAGGAGGGCAACACAGCAGAGCTCCAGACAGAGGCAACAGCTCTTCTGTGGCCATACAGAGAGAGCAGGGCCTACTGGAGGAGGTGGCATGGGGGGGATATCTGCTGCCTGAGTCAGAGAACATCCACTCCTGGCTAGGGGCTGAGGCAAAGGGAGATCTTTCTAAACAAACTGGACTGACCTGGGGCCTTTATTGGCTTCCAGTCCACCCACTTCTCACCCTCGGACAGCGCCCACACTTTTCTGATGCCCCCTGGCAGCAGTGGGAAGGTCTGCACTGTCCAGTTGGTAGCCAACAACTGGACTCCTGGCTCCCCCCAGACCCAGGAGATGCCCACACAGTCCTGGGACCAGCTGCCTGCTCTTGGTAAGAGACCTCAGTGGCCTGAGGCCTTGACCCCATCTTTCTAAGTCCAAGGAGGGGAGTTGCAGTTTTACAGCTTGACTGCTGTGATGGCTGTGCCCTGCCCTGCTCTGTGGAGTCCAGCATGTCCCCTGAGAAAGGCACTACAACCCCCTCCCCAACTCCGCCTCCTGGCCTCAGCTCGCATTTTCCATTGGCTCTCTCTGGCCTCTCCCAGGCCCCCCATTGGCATCTCCACCAGCGCCCCCTGCAGGCTCGCAAGCCGCCATGCTCCAGCCTGGCCCACAGCTCTACGACGTGATGGACGCGGTTCCTGCACGGCGCTGGAAGGAGTTCGTGCGCACGCTGGGGCTGCGCGAGGCGGAGATCGAGGCCGTGGAGGTGGAGATCTGCCGCTTCCGTGACCAGCAATACGAGATGCTCAAACGCTGGCGCCAGCAGCAGCCCGCGGGGCTGGGCGCCGTCTACGCGGCCCTGGAGCGCATGGGGCTGGATGGCTGCGCCGAGGACTTGCGCAGCCGCCTGCAGCGTGGTCCTTGACGTGGGGGCCCACCGGCCTCTTTGGTGCTCTCTCGTAACCCTTTCAGAAGCTATAAGTACGGTTACTTACGCGTGTAGACATTTTATGTCACTTACTAAGCCCTTGGCACGGCCCTGCGTAGCAGCGCCAGCAGGCCTCACCCCCAGAGCTCCAGTCAAGGCGAAGAATCATGGAGGACTACCAGGAGAGGCCAAGTGATTGCTCAGCGGTTTCTCAGGCTGAGTTTGGCTAGGGTCTTGGTATTAAATCTCTAAAGAAAAGCGGCCTTTTGGTGTTTCCGCAGGAGCTGGGGGTGTTAAGGGGCTTGAACTTTGTCTCCCAGGGCCATCAAAGGAGTTGGGAGTCCTGCCATCACCACCCGGGGATGGGAGGGTGTCTGGGACCTATGGTGGAGACCAGTGTGGTCCTGTGCTACCAAGCCTGCCCTTCCGCATCTGCGGTGACCCAGTGACAAGAAAGAGAAAGTCAAGGCAACGGCGAGTGAGAGTGAACAGAGTCCCAGGCGGCAGAGAGCTTTAATGGAGGAGGAGGAGGGGGATAGGGTGGGGGAGCAGTTGGAGTCACAGGTTCAGGTCCCCTCGCCTTCCACTCACTCCACCAGGGCAATGAAAAAGGGTCAGGGGAGCAAGGGTCCTGCTAGGTATGGGCGCAGTTTTAATTGAAGGGAGGTGTTGGGGCCCCTGGAGAGGCAACTCCGTCGGGCAGGTTTCATCTTTTCTGGTAAACAAATGACTGAGAGGAAACCCTCGGCAAAGATGAGAAAAGCGGCCCGACCCAGGTCGGGCACAGATCTGGGTCGGGGAGGGAGGAAAACCCCTTCCCGAGCTCGGGGCTTGCCTCTGCCCAGGATGCGCCAGCAACGCAGGTTCCACGGATTCCGGGGTGCGGGGGAGGAGGCTACGGTCAGGCACGCACCCCGCAGGAAAACAAAGTCACCACCCACGGGGCTGGGGAGAGCTCTGCACACTTTGACATTCAACGAACATGCAAATATATGTAAGTCGGCATGCAAATAGGCAGCATCTTTTTGAGTCAGCAGCTTGGGCACTTTTTCCGGCGATTGTGGCGGCAGCTGTGGCGGCGCGCTCCAGCAGCGGTGGGGCTGGGAATGCAGGGCCAGGGTTGGGGGTCAGGGAGGATTCCCGCTTAGAAGGGGAGGGCAGCACAGCTCCCAGCCCTTCCGCACCAGCCGGGCAGGCTGGGGCGGGGGTTGGGCATACTCCCTCCGAGCTCACGAGGCTACAGGCAGGAAGCCGCACGTCTGTTTCTCCATTACTTAGGGATGTCTCCCTTCCTCAAGATGACCTGTCGCTGCCAGGGCGCCAGCTTGGTCTCATCGTAGCCCAGCGTCCGCAGCTTCTCCGACTGTTCTTTCTCCCGCTGCATCTCCTCCTGCTTTTGTCGCTCCTCCTCTTTTCTGCGGATGGGGTGGGGGCAGAACCCAGTGAAGCAGAGGGCCGGACACTGGGGTTGGCCAAGCACGAGGATGGCAATGGGAGGAGCTGGCTATTGAGGGCAGGACTAGGTTGCTGAGGACAGGGGACTTGCCTGGAGGCAGACTGGGGTTACTGGGGGCACACAGAGGCTGAGGTTGGGTTCTTTGGTTTGGAGTGTTACTGGAAACAGTCACTGTGTGGCACTGTGTGAGGAGAGGTGTTACAGAGCTCAGGGGGTCAGCTTATTGGGGCCAGGACCTGAGTTGTTGAGGAGCTGTCCATCTGAATTATTGGAGAATGCAGCTGGGAATGGAGCTGAGGACCTCATTATTGGGAGACAGAGGTTGGGGCTAGGGACAGGTTAGTAGAAAGGGTAAGGACAGGTGGCAGAAAGCTTGCCTAGCATGCTTAAGGCCCTGAGTTTGATCTCCAGCATCAAAACCCAATAAGGTGTCCACTGACACACTAATTATATGTGGCTGTGGAGTCATTTGATAGGAGGTGGTCTAAATAGGGGTGGACTGTAGGTGTGAAATATACATGGTATTTTAAAAACCACACTTTTTAAAAAAGGGAGTTTAGAGCATTTTGTTAATACAGTTTTATAATTAACTATAGTTGAAACAATGTTTTATATATTGTGTGAAACAAAATATTAAAATTAAATTCACCTGTATCTATTTTCTCAGTGTGGCTACTAGAAGTTTATGGTTCACATATCTCTATTGGACAGTACTGGGCTAGATTACTGCATCCAGAAACTAAGTTTTGGGGGACAATGAGTAAGGTTATTGATCCTGGGGTTGTGTTAACTGCAGGGTAGAAAGACATTAATAGAAGATGGAGAGTTGGGGATTTAGGAACAAGGTTATCAGAGCATAAGAGCTAGACTTTGGGGGACAGGCGCTAAATTGTTCAGAAGAAGGGGTCTGGTGTCATTATTGGCAGCAGAGAGGTTGTGCTACAAGGTTTGAAGTGACTGATTGGATATCTCCAAGACAGGGCTGGGTGAAGAGGTGCAAAAGGACTAACTTCTGAGATTGGGTGGGGGAAGGGGAAGCAGCTGCACACTTACCGCTTCTGCTCCCTGGAAGGAGAAAGAGACAGCATTAGTTGGTGCCACTACTCAGGGATGATTAATCAAGACATCCAGCAGACCAGCCTCCTCCTGACCCCAGCTCACCTCTCCTCTTCCAGCTTCTTCCGAAGGAGATCTCGTCTCCAGGCAGGCAGGCTGGCCAGTCGGGCCTCCTCTTCCTCCTCCTGAAACACAACCACAAAGCTCAGACCAGCATGGGCTGGGAGGCATGGATCCAAGGGGGTGAACCCCCCAACCCAGGAGACTGGAGGATTCAGGGACAACAGAACCCAGATGTGGTCACAGAAGAGATCCTTTTGATGCTTTTCTATGGGGCAAATGTATAAAGGTGCTGGTCATAGCCCCCTCAGAGGGGGTCTTCTGCCCCTCCATTGACTCAGGTCTGTGTCCTAGAGATGGTGCAGAGAGATCAGAGCTGGGTGGAAGAGGTAGAAGAGGAATAGAGAATGAAGTAGCTGAGCCCAGAGGCCTTGACCCTGAGTTTCCACAGGGCAGATGGGCAGATGGCTCCAAGCTGGTCACCCAGAATCTCTGGGCAGATGCAGATTAGCACCCCCACCCCATATGAACACACAGGTCAGCTCAGGGAAGCTCAGGCAGTCAAGGACCTTCTGGACCATGTTTGCCCTTTTCCCAATGGAAAGGGGAAATGTCTACAATTGTGGAACTGCAATGACATTGGGGGTGGGGGGATCTAACACACAGTCTACAGTGAAATGTTTTATTCCTTGGATGTTACAGAAGAAAAAAGTCTGTACACATCACACACATCAAACAGAACACTGCACAGGTAGCCAACGAGGTAGCTGTGAACTCCAGTGAAAAACCAGAGAGAGCAATACTTTTCAAAGTCCCTCACTCAGAGAGATTCCACAGAGCCCAGCAAGGCCTTGGGACCAGAGAGAAACACTTGAATTGCCATATGCCATGCCCTGCCTATCCCGTCAAATGCTCCATAGCCTGTCTCCAGGGGACCTCAAGGGCAGAGGAAACTAGGCCCCTGGAATGCAGCTTTTCATTCGTCCTGGGTTCTTCCCACTAGATTCTGGAGACAGACAGGTCTCCAGGCCTATTCAACATGCCTGAGGCTAAATTCTGAATTCACTGTTCAGATCTCAAACATCTCAGCCTCCTTCTCCTTCCAAAAGGAGAAGCTGCGGTCGATGTAACGGCAGATGTCCTCATTGCTGAACTCGCCCATCTCAGATACCAGTTCCAAGGTGTCTTCAATGGGGGCTTCGGAGCTAAGCGAGTCTGAGGTCGGGGGAGGCGGAGGCGGAGGCGCAGCCGGTGGGGGCTGCGGTGCAGGGGATGGAGCCTCGGGCTGTCCCTCTGGCCTGTCCTTGGTCTGAGCGGGAGTGGCCTCTTCTGCCGGCCCCTCCTCCTTCTCCTTAACCTTCTCCTCCCCCTTTTCCTCTTCTTTCCCCTCCTCGTCCTCTCCCCCCTTTCCTTCCTGGTCCGGCTCAGCCTCCGGGCTGTCTCCGAAGAACTGGCGCCTGAGGTCCTCAAAGCCATCGCTCCAGGCGCGTCGGCCGGCCTCCACCTCCTCGAGCACCACGCGGTGGAAGAGGCGGATGAGCTCCCACGGGTGGCTGCCCAGCCGGTCGAACATCTCGTAGCACAACAGATGTCGGAACTTGCGCTCCTCGCGGCTCAGGCCCATCTCGAGCAGTTGGAAGTAGCCGAGCATGAAGAGGTCGAGTGTGAGGCTGTCATAATGCCGCGGCGCGCCGCCGTCGAGGGGTGGCAGGAAATGTTCTGGCCAGTACAGGCCGTGTGACAGGCCCGAGCCGCACGACCGGCGCGCTGGCACCTGCGTTAGTAGGCTCCGCCAGTGGCCCAGCAGCCTACCCACCACCTGACGCTGCTTCAGCAGGTGCAGCAACCGCTCGTCGGGGCCAGGGTCAGAGCCATCTCCCGCCAGCTCCTGGGGAACATCCACTGCTTCTGGGCCGGGGTCGGCGCCCGCAGCCACCACTCGGGGCAGCAGTCTGCGCAGACGCGCCTGGGCTTGGCGCCCGGGCCCGCGGAAGGTCCACTTGCGCCAGTGCTCCAAGAAGAGGAAAACGATCCGCTCCTTGCGCATGTCGATGTAGTCCTGGACGCCCAGCAGCTCGGTGGAGAGAGGCTGTCTGCGCGCCAGCTGCTCTTGCTCCGGCAGCTCCTCCTGGTGGCGGTCCCGCGTCTCCGGCGGGTCCATGGTGCCCTGGGGCTCCTCCGTGGCCAGGGGGCCGTTGGCGACAGTGGTGCTGGGCTCACTAGAACCAGCCGCCACATAGTCCTCCTCCAGGATGGGTTCGCGGTCCGAGGCTGTGGCCAGCTGTGTTTCGTCGCAAGCTGTGCGTGGGCGCCGGCGCAGGCAGTGGGTGGGTGTTGCGCCTTGAGCGCGCAGCTCATAGGTGGCGCGGAGGTGCTGCACTGAGACCCCGCACTCAAGAATCTCGCGGGCCACGGCTTCGCGGCACCAGCTGAGAGAGTGCGAGCGGCCCAAGCAGAGTGGCCCGGGCCGCGAGGGCGCGTCAGGCAGCGGCGCCAGCGGCTGGCCCGTTTCAGCGGCCAGCAGCTCGGCCAGGTACGCGGGCCGGCCGCCCAGCGTGGCCAGCAGCGTGGCCATACTCTTGAGCAGCGTGGAGATCTTGCTGCACCAGGCGGGCAGGCTGGCGGCGCGGCCGTGCATGCGGCGCGGGTCGACGGTGAAGCGCGGTGCGGACAGGGCGGCAGAAATGGGTAGCAGCTGCTCCAGCTCCAGCTCCAGCTGCTCCAGGCGCGCCTCCTGCTTCTGCGCCTTGTGTAGCACTTGGAGGTTCTCGATTTGCTGCTCGATGCGGAGGATGTCGGCCTCGGTCATGAGCTCGCCAAAGGGCCCGAGGATGGCGTTGTACTCGTGGGAGTACCTCCAGCCCTCTCGGGGGTAGCAGCATGAGCTGGCGGCCGTCAGCTAAGGCGGGGAAGACAAGAGAGGGGAGAGGGGCGCGTCTCCCTCTAGCCCAGCTCCTGCAGCCGCGCTGGGGGACCTTTTGCATATCCCGGGTGGTGTAATGGCTCCGTGAGGCTGTGTTTGCAGGGATGGGCCGCGCCTGGCCGGCGGGTGATTATATTGTAGCGAGGCTTCGGCTCCAGGCTCTGGGCAGTGTCCACTTTGGTCGCTGGCAGGGGCTGATGGCTGGGCGCTGCTGCCGAGGCAGGGAGGGCATGCCGGCAGGCAGACGGGGTCTCCATGCCTGGCTTGTTTGCTCATTACACCACCCAAGGAACATGCGAAAGGCCTTGAAACTGAGAGGCACAGTAGCCCTCCCTGATCCCATCCAAGGATTGCTATTTCCTGGCCACATCCCATGGAGGCCTCTCATGCCACCACACTGTTGACCTTTTCTTAGGCTCCCTGTGGCCCAAGTCCTTCTTGTCCCAGTGGTCAATGTTTTACCTGCTTGAATGAAAGGCCATTCCATTCAAAGATGCAGCTTCCATTGCATCTACCACTGCCTCCACTCCCCTATTGGCCTAGTACAGTGTATGGAACCTGGTTTGCCTGGCACTTCTATCTGTTCCTCACTTTTCTCTACCTCTAGGCAAGCAGTCCCGTGGCAGATTCATCTAGATCCATTGCAGTACATACTCCATATACAAGCAGGATGATATCATGTCCCTCTCAGCTGCCCCAGGCTCCCCACTGCTTGAGGACACCCATTCTCTTCCAGGTAGCTGGTAACCTGACAACACCCCCGCCCCGCCCCGGCCAACCTCACCATATCAGCCCCCACAGTACAATCCCAGAGCCACATACACCCTGACTTCCAGATCACCTAATTTTACAGCCGCTCTTCACCCTACTCTTTTCCCAGCTACTCTTGCTCACCTTTCAAGTCTCACCTTAGACATCACTACCTCCTTCCCCATCACTGCCACCAGCCCAAAAAAGGCAGCCAGTTTAGGGTTCACAGTCCCCAACGTGTTAGTGTCACAAGGCCTGTTGTTTTGTCTCTCCAGTTGTCACTCTCAAATCTCCCTGTTTTGTCTCCTTGGGGACACACACACACACACACACACACACAATCTTAGACAGCCATCTTGAGAGCAGATCTTGGTATATTCACTGTGATCCCCCAGAAGATACAACAGTGCATGTGTGGGTGGTACATAGCTGGCACCAGGGGAACATTTACAGATGTAGAAACTGAGGCTGGACAAGGTTCAGAATCAACAGCTAGAGAGTGGCAGTGCCGGGATAGAGCCCAGGTCAGTCTTACTGAGACAAATCCCCTCTTGGCTACTTGGTGTGGTCCCTGACTACTGTCATCATCAGCCCCATCCAAGGGGCTTGTTAGAAATGCAGAATCTCAGCACCCCCCTCCCAGTCCTGAAGCAGAAGAGGCATTTTAACAAGGTCCTAGGTGATTTGAAGTGTGGTAAATATTGACTTCTCACCTCAAAGGATGGGCTGCTGGGGGTGGGGAGACTGGAACCAGTGGGAGAGGGGGGCTCTGCAACCCCACTTTTCTCCAAAGGCAGTGGGCACTGCTAGAGATTGAAGGGTCAGAGTAGGTTAAGGGGTGGTGTAGGGAGTATGCTGTAGGCTCAATGCAGCCCAAGGGCCTTCTGGGAAGTCCAGCCCCACCCACCTTCCGTCTCTGCTCTTCCTCCTCTTGCATCTTCAGCTGCAGCTTGCGTACCATCACCTGGCGCTTCCACTCTGGGATGGGCCGGCCCTGCTCGTCGTGGGTGGGGATGAGCGCTTCCACGTCTAGCTGAACACCTGGAGCAGGAGTGGCGGGTGGCGCCGGCACCACGCTGCCATTGAGCACTGGTTGGGGCCCCACAGCTGGTGGAGTGGGGCTCCGGGCCCGAGATGGCGCTGGCGATGCTGCTGACAGCTGCGGTGAGTCCGGCTGAGGGAAAAGCGGCAGTGCTGAGCGCTGGGCAGGCAAGGGGAGCCGGGGTGGGGCACCTGTCCGGCCGCCTACCTGGGAGGCTGGCTGCCCACTGCCTGAGAACACTGTAGTCAGCCCCTTGCTTTGTGGTGTGGGCTTCAGGCTCTTGCCTGCCTTAATCTCAGCCAGTAGCTCTGAGTTGTCACCCGTTGGCGACACCATATTGAAAGACTTGGTGCCTGTCCACAGGAGAAAGGTGCTGGTTGGTGGCAGGACGACATCCCCACCCCCCACCTGCTCCAATGCAGCCCCCCTCCCTAAGCCAGGATGGGTGGATCCTTCCTTCTGGCTCAGAGGCAGCTCTCCAGATCCTGGGGTATCTTGGACGGCTTTTCAGGGTCCCTCAGCTCCCAGCCCCTGCTGGCCCCTGCCATGCTCCCAGCCTTACTCACTGGGTGTACAGCCCCGGCCTGGAAGCTCCTGAGAGTTCATAGTGGCTCTTGAGCCAGCGCTGGGGACTCCAGCATATGTTTCTGCCCAGGCACTGACTGCCCAGCTCCAAAACACTACCTGGGACCAGCCACCACCGACCTTTGCCCCAGGTTCCCTGGCTCTGCCCCCACTAGGGTGGAGTCTTCCTCTGGCCCTCTCCCTGCATCAGCAAAGCCCAGTGACCCTTGGACTGAGCCAAGTGGAGCCTCCATGGCCATGCAGACTCAGGACACCAGAGTACCAGCACCCATCCGGACTTCCCCTGCCTCCACACCCAGACAGACGAAGACACACTGATTGCAAGCAGGGAGCACATTTATGGCAAAGCATTGCTCAGTTATGGGGGACCCTGGAAGGAGGAGCCTACTGAGGACATGGGACAGGCTAGCAGGAAGAAAGGCCAGGCAGGCGGATGGCATGCAAATGCCTGGGCAGAGTTTACATTTTCCCATTTGGCTGGCAGAGGTGAATGGGGATTTGGGGAGGACTGTCTTTGGAGCCCTGAGGAGGGGGTCAGGTCTGGGGAGTGGGGAGGAACAAACCAACCAAAAGCTTTTGGATGCCAGGGCTGGGGACTCCAGAGTACATCACAAAAAGAAAAGCAAGGAAAGCGTGTGGCCACCTCCTTAATGAGGCAAAACTGCCAGCCAGAAGTAGAAAGCTTGGGCATGTCCATGGGTGTTGCAGGAATATAAGGATAGATGCGGAATGCAAGGGCCCCTCTGTGCATCAGGTCCCCTCGCCTGCTGACCCCTGGCCTGGTCTTCCCTTCCCTCAAGTCCAGGGCCCCTTTTGGTTTGTTTTTCCTGGGTAAGCCTTCTCCCCTCACCCTGCACCCAGCCTCAGCCTCAGCGGGAGCTGCAAGCAGCTACTCACTCTTCCTGTTCCTCAGGACTCTCACTTCTAGGAACCAAGAGGAGAGAAGTGACAGTGAAGTTAGAGGGAGGGGGCTGGGGTGAGAAGGACAGCAAGAGGATCAGGGAGGGAAAGAGGGGGAGAGTAAAGGAGGAGCTTTCCTGTCCTGTGACCCTGGTTCAGGCCACTCTGGGGCCCCACAAGGGTGATCCATCCAGTTCCCAAGGGCTGCACAGAGTCACCTTGGCTTTGGGGTAGGCTAGGGTATCCAGCCCAGGGTCTGCTCAGAGGGCTGTCTGGGGCAGCACAAAATCTTGTTTTCCTTCTCTTTCTAGCTTGGGCCCTGCTACAGACTCCAGAGGAAGGAAAACTGACTATAGAGTTGGTGGGGGGGCTGGGGACTATCTGGAATGGGAGCACCAACATCTACTAGGAGGACTATCAGGTGGGATAGTACCCCATCCCACATAAGAGGAGTTCAGGAATCCTGGTCACAAGGCTAGCTCTTAAAAAGAGGCCCAGGTTGGGGATGTAGCTGAGTAGTGTTTGGGGCTCTGGGTTTCAACCCAGCACCACAAATAAATAAGAAAATAAATAAACAAGAAAATAAAGAAGAGGGGTGCTCAGGGAGCCGTCAGAAGGGGAGAGGAGACATGATAGGTCACTAGTTTTGTCCCCCTAGCCAGGCCATGGCTGACCAGGGACCCCTGGCAGGATCTGGCTAGGAAGGGTCCCTGTCATATCTGAGAAGGGTTCAGGTTGTGCTAACTTGGAGGAACAAGAGGAAGAAGTGGGAAGAGGGAGGGGGACAGGAAGAAGGCTGTCTAGCCGTCCTGCCTCCTGGAAGTTAGTTCCACTCAGTGCCTCCCTCTGGAACGCTCATCAGCTGCTGGAGCTGGGGGTGGGGGGTCCTCCCCAGCCCAAGAGAGCTAGAAGGCTCAGAGAGGGGCTGGAACTTGCCCGAGGCCACGCATCCCAGTCCTGCTCTGGCAGGAGATAAAGCAACTCAGGGCCTTTCCTTAGGGTCAAGTCCTCAACCAGGAGGAACGAAGGAAGGAGCAGGACAGTCATAGCTGGGGAGGGGGCGGTGTCTAGATTTCCCTCCCCCTTCAGAGCTGGCACCGCCCCCCACCCCTCATCCCGCCCCTACTCACTGCCAGTGGAGGAAGAGGACCGGCGCTGCCCGCAGCCAGGGCCCGCACCCTCGAAGGGCAGAGGCGGGGCAGGCGGCGGTGAGCTCAGGGCCTCCGGCAACGGGGGCGGCGGCGGGGGCGGCGGCGGGAGCTCCCAGGACGCCTTGGGGTCCGCAGCGCAGCCGTTGTGCACGTGGTTCCCGGGGAGCAGCGCCGCCTGCGGGGGAGCGGAGGGGCCAACGAGTGAGGAGGGGGCAGCAGGGCCGGGTCCCGGGCGGCCGGCGGGTGCTGGCTGGCGGGCACGCACCTCCTCGCTGTGCGCCATGCCCGGGCGTGCGGCCAGCGGCTCCCCGGGGCAGCGGCCCAGCTGGCGGTAGTAGTCCCCCGTGCTGGGCTGCTTGCTGAAGGCGCAGGGCTTGCGGCCGGAGTCCTGCCTCCGCAGCCCGTGGTGACGGTCGCGGGAGCTCAGCTGCGGGAAGACAGCGGCCGACAGGCTTCGGCGCTTGCCCCGAATGCCCCTCACGCCTCCCTCCCCGCTCTTCACCTCGCTTGGGCTCGCGGCCAGCGGCCGTCGAGTGCTGCGGCCGGCCGCATCTCTAGCCCCCCCCCCCCCCGTTCCTCGGCGGGATGGGGCGAGGGTCACGGGGGCCTGGATGGAAGGGCAGGCACAGCCAGCCCTACAGGGAGGGGCTCTGGGTGCCGGCCAAGGGCACAGGGGCCCCTACTGAGGCCAGAAGGGGCGGACCCAGGGGCGGGGTGGCCCAGCCTAGACGCCAGGGGGAGCCGGAGAAGGGGCAGCTTCCAGTGCAGCCGGCCCTAAGGCTTTCCCCGCACCCTGCTCCGGGCTGCCGGACCAACTGCGCGTCCTCGAGGCTCCGCCGAACCCTCTCTAGCCGGGGGAGGAGCGGGGCTCGGCCCAGAGGGAGCCCCGTCGAGACCCCGCGCCTTGGTGGGCTCCTTCTAGTGCAGGGGCCGTAGCCGCCCGGCCTGGGGCTGCTCCTACCTGCGGCTGTGCCGATGGCCCCCCGCTGTGCACCTGGCGGCGGGGGCGGCAAAGACCCGACACCTGCGTTACCAGATCCTTCCTCTCAGGTTACAGCCCGGCCCTTGCGCGGCCGGCCTATGAGCTCAGTCGGCCTGACATCACCCAGGACCCGCCAATCCCGGGCTGAACCCCCCACCCCCCCATAGCAGTCGGGGATACCACGGGGCCCAACTGCTCCGCCACACCTGGCTGCGCCTGCCCCATGGGCCAGGTGTGACCCCGCCCCCTACGCCTTTTTCCTAAGCTAGGTCCTGAGTACCCCGACCTTCCTCCCCCTCTCATTCGCTGGAGACCGGACGAGGGCCTGACCTCGGACAGCGGAGCCTCTCATATTTGCCCACACCCCCGGCTCCGGGGTCGCGCCCCCGCCATTCCCCTCCCGCATCTGGAAACCATCGCTATCCGTGTAAGCGACACCACACCCGCGCCCAAGCCTCGAGTTTCAGGGGCAGCAAGGAGGGCTCGGGTGACAGCGCAACGTCCCGCCTCATTTCGGCTGCCCCCAGTTAAGCCCAGCGCGGGGAAAGGAACATGAGGTGGTGCGGCCGAAGGCCGAATGACCGGGCGGGGGGTTGTCCCCTGCCCCATTCCCCAGCCCATGCGTCCCCACGATGGCCTTGGACCCTCATGTACACCCTGCCGGACCAGGCTCACGTTGCAGGAAACGCGACACGCTGGATTTGTTTTCTGGGCCAGCCGGCCCCCTCTACAGCCCCGGAGGCTCGCGCCCCACGACCCTACTTCCTCCCGCAGTTCGGGCACACGAGTGTGGGGGGACGCAGCAGGCACACAAAGGGCCCTTTGTAGAGGAGACGGGCGCCTGCCACTCGGCACGCACACAGCCCAGGGGGGCATGGGGATGACAAAATTCTGGCGCTTGGGCTTAGGGGTGAGGAGTAGACGCTGGCATGGGGTCCCATGGATTTGGGCGGTGCCCACATGCCAGGCCAGGCTGGGAAAATAAGCTGGTCCCAGGCTCCCTGAAGCCCCAGCCAGCCTCCCCACCTTTCCTCCAAAGATGAAAGAAGAATGTGCCCTGAGAGCTTAGAATGGGCGGGCATAAAGAGGGGAGGCGGTGTCCCTCCCAGTGCCTTCCACCCAGTGGCCTTGTGACCTGGCTCACCTGTGCAAACTGATTACTCAGCTCATCTGCCCCTCTTCCCCTTCTCCCATGCTTCCTTCTCCCCCAGGGTGTCCACCTGTGCACTGGCTCCTCCACATACCCCAGCTTGAACCTCAAGCTGAACCAGCCTCAGCTTCTCTTCCCTCAGCCAGCCTGGCCAGTGGGCGTCAGGTCCTGCTAGTGTTTGCTTAGCTTCTTTGTCCTCCTCTTGGCCCTCGCTTTCAAGCCATGCCACTAGCATCTCCCACCTGGAACACACCTCCCTGAGATGCTATTCTCCACTTGAGCCCAGAGCTATGGGTGTGTGCACATCTATGGAGGACCAGTCTGCACTCATTTGCTGTACATCCCAGACAACCCTGCCACTCTGTGGAAGAGGGTACAGCTTCCCACTGTGGGCAGTTGTTTTGTCTTAGCTCCCTGTCCTCAGGGTCCAGTCGTACTTTTATTTTTTAAGTCTGGGAATCCAACCTGGGGCCCCACACATACTAGGCAAGTGCTCTACCACTGAACTACACCCCCAGCAACCCAGAAATTTTTGTGTGTGTGTGTGCTGGGGACGGAACCCAGAGTCAGGAGTCAGTAGACTTTTTTTTCTTTTAAGGAGGGGTGCACTACTGGGATTTGAACTCAGGGCTTCACACTTACTAGGCAGACACACTGCTGCTTGAGCCATGCCTCCAGCCCAAGGACCTTCAACTCTTCAACATATCCTGGGCCTAGGGACCCCCCACCTGTGACCAGGAGCCAGCAGACCAGTCCCCCATCAGCCCAGTCCCATCGTTGGAGGCAGGGCAAGGGCTCACTACCTCCTTCTTGAAGGTCTCCGTTTCCACATGGCGCAGCTTGTTCTTAGTCTGCATGTAGATGTCAGCTGCATGTAGCCCCACAGGGGGATTGGGAGCCGGATAGCCTGGCGGTGGTGGAGGCAGCTGGGTGCCTGGGGGTGGTGGTGGTGGAGGGACGATGGGTGGTGGTGGTGGTTTTCCCATCTTGCTCCGAGGCAAGCCCAGTTCCGGGTTCAGCATGTCCATGTAGCTTTGTATGTCTGCAGCTCTTGTGCTGGAAAGCCCTGGGGAAGCAGAAGGGGGGAAGACCCAGTTCGGGAGCTCGCACAGAGGCAGTCCCCAGAACTAAGACTCCTCACCATGTGGAGGGGTACTTGCAGAGAGGCAAGACAGGCTCAGGACCACTACTTGGTATGATGGGGCTCCTCCCCCGCCCTGCGCTTATTACAGAGAGATGATGTGCTTAGGTCTGGAGGAGAGGCATTAGAGGCTTTGGGCTCGAGAGTGTGCCCGTAGAACAGGCCACCTGGATAGGGGAGGGAGGTTTCTTCAGGGCAGATCTGGCAGGGCAGGTGGCAGGAGACTGGATGACCACACCCGACCTTCACAGGGCACTTGGCCAGCTCTGCAGGCCACCACCTGGTGGCAGGAAGTGGACATTGCAGGTAGATGGACACCCATGCTCAGGGTGTGCTCAGTGTGTGTACACCTGTGCAGCTTCTGAGGGCTTTACGTTTTTGTATTTAAGCCGGTCACATTTGTGCACACACTTCTTTGTGTTTGTGAATGTGTCTGCATTGATCTGCAGACATGGTGTGTGTGTGTGTGTGCATGTCTGTAGTATGGCAATGGAGGCTTTTGTGCCTGTGTGTGACGTAGGCATGTACATGTATCTGCATGAGTCTGTATGTGTGCCTATGCGTTCCTATCCATATACTTTATGTGCACACGTACAAGTGTGCATTTCTGAGTGTGGGTAGGTGAGAACGAGCCATGGGCAGGGTGCATGTGGGTTTTGTGGGGATGAAAAGGACATGGGGTATGCATGGATGTGGGTGGTGGGCGTACACACATCCCCTCCCCATGTTTAAGACAGCAAATAATGAGGGCAGCCTGTGGTGTTGGCTGTGGGCAGGGAGGCCTGGGGGTCCGGCTCCAGACTGTTCTCCTCTCTCTTCTCCCACTCAGACCACTCACCTCTCGGGGGACACCGGTCCTTGATGCTGGAATGGCTGGAAGAGCAGGAGTCATAGTTGGAGAGTGTGCTGGTGGGTGAGCTGAGATCAAAGTTCGGCGGCTGGACCGACATGGTGGTGTTGGGTGAGGACATGCCCGAGTCGGGCTGCTTCCCCTCCAGCTCAGTGGATGGATCTCGGGACAGCACGCGGTGCTCCACGCTCTGAGGGGAAGGAAGGGACCTGCACTCTCTGGACCAGGGTACCGCTCAGGCGTGCCCTTGCTGTGTAACCTCGCTCTCAGATACTTTGCCCATCTTAAGAGGGTGTCAGGGTCTTCTCAGGATAAGCTTTGAGTCCAGCCTCTCAGCAGAACCTGTCATCCAAAGCCCCTCCCTACTTAGGAAGGTAAAGACTCATTGTGGGCCCTGAGCTGCATCCCAAGGGGGAGAACTGCCGTGTCCCAGCCTCTCCTTCCTCATCAGTGGGCACAAGGCTTTGGGTCCTGTGCATCTGTGAGGAGGAGGCTCAGGGGCTGCAGCTGAAGTTAGGGGAGGGGTAAAGAAGACTCATCCTCCATTCCCTGGCTGAGACTCTGTCTCCTTGCTTGACTTCCCAACCCCCCAACCTCCAGATGGGGCCTTTGGGGAAAGGGTGGGGCCTGGGTGACCCAGGGAACTGGGATGGGCAGCTCCAGATCAGGCTGCCTCCCCCGCCCCCACCCACACACTGTCTATGCCTCTGATGGAAGGTTTGTCTCCTCCCAGGTGGGAGCAGGCTGGGGTGGGGGCTCTGCTTACGTTGCCCATGCTGTCCCTGCTGCCGGCAAGCCTGCTCACTCCACTGCCTCCTCCCCAGACCTACTCCTCCCTGCCCTATGCCCCTCCCTGCCTGAGAAGTGTCACAGGCCCCCTGGGAGAGGGAGGCAGCCTGGCACCAGGTAACGGCTTGGCAGCCACGCTCATTGGCCCCGTAATTAGGGGCTCTTTGGGAGTGTTTGCCTTTTCTGGGCCAGCATCCTTGGTGGCTTGGAGCTGTCATTGCTACAGCTGGGCCTGCCTGGGTGAGGGGACCAGGTCTTGCTCCCTACCCCATCCAGTTTAGGGAGTCCAGGCCCTGCTGCCTACCACCCCATGAGCTAAGAGGAGTTCCAGAAGATGACTTGGGGACAGCCTTAAGGTGTTCTTTTCTTGGCTGATAATAGTGGACACAAAGGGCACCCAGCCTTGACCTCTATGGACCACAAATGACAGAGGTTGGGACACAGACTCTGAAGCCCAGGATAAGGGCTTCAGATTTCCCCTCCCCCACTTACTAGCTATGTGACCTTGGACACATTGCCTGTCCTCTCTGTGCCTGAGTTTCTCCATCTGTAAATGGGAATAACAGTACTGCTTGCTCCACGAGTGGCAAAAAAACATTCTAAAAGTTAGTGAAGTGCTGTGGCACCATGTTAGCAAACGCCATAAATGCAAACTATCAATATTACTGTGAAGATGAGTTGAGGTCACTGGAAAGCCCTGGACAGGGCATGCAGAGTCACAATTCAGTCAATGGTGCTTACTTACTGCTGCATGGCTGCAGCCTGGCAGGCTCTCAGGAGGGCTCTTGGCTCTGGTGCTGCCCCCTAGCCCCACAACAGAGACACCCTCTCTCAGTTGGAAGATGCAGAAAGAGCCTTAGTAGCATCCACCCCTGCTATATGCCCCAGTGACAGAGTGCTCACCACCTGTTGGGCCACCCACACTCTTTGGGAGGCAGTTCATCCTGTAGTCTATCTGCAGTCTCTGATCCTTGGCCTTGCAGTCTCCATAATTTAGGTCATCCCCATGTATTAGCAGATGGGTAGAGGCCATCTGCTTTATTTCCTCCAGGCTTCATTTGGAAGCCCTTCTTATAGCCAGGCTATAAGGAGCTGGTCAGCATCCTTCTGGGAGTGCCTGTGAGGTCTACCCTCTTCCTCCTCCACTGCCCAAAGCAGGCATTGTGCCAGGTGGGGTGGAGCCTTGGACTCAGAGACACCCACATCTGCAAACCTGAGTCCAAGGCCCAGTGAGTCACTTCACAGCTATGTAACAATAATAAAATAATTTACAAGACTCACATAGGTTTCCAGTTATGAATTAACTTTTTTTTTCATTACTGGGGTTTGAACTCAGGGCATACACCTTGAGCCACTCCACCATCCCTTTTCTGTGATGAGTTTTTTTTGAGATAGGGTCTTGAGAAGTATTTGCCCAGGCTGGCTTCGAACCACGATCCTCCTGATCTCTGCCTCCTGAGTAGCTAGGATTACAGGCGTGAGCCACCTGCACCCAGCATGAATTAACTATTAAGTGAGCAAATGGGTAGTGTAGTGATCAAGAGGGTGAACTCATGCCTGACAGTGTGGTGCATATCTGTAATCCCAGCCACTTGGGAGGGTGACGTAGAAGGATCACAATGTCAACGACAGTCTGGGCAATTTATCAAGATTCAGTCCCAAAATTTAAAAAAAAGGCGGCAGGCATTGGAGGTATAGTTCAGTAGTAGACTACTTGCTTGAGGCCCTAAGTTCAACTACCAATAGGGGGGCAGGAGGCAGCTCTTAGATAGGCTAGGCCATTGAGCTCCACTACTTACTGGCTGTGTGACCTTGGTCTCCCAGAGACTCAGTTTACTCATATGTGAAATGGGAGGCGCTAGTATTCCCTACCTCAGAGAGTGGTGGCCATAAGTTAAATCGGGTAACACATGCTGGCAGGCCGAGGAACTTGGCTGGGCCCCATTGCCTTCCTGCCCTCTCCCAACCTTACACTTTATCAGGATGACTCTGGTCCTCCCTGTCCTCCTTCCCTCCACCTGTTCTCCTCTTCTCCCTCACTCCCCAGTGGCAGAGGTCCTGAGCTGAGAGTTCAATTGCAGGGTAGTGGTCAACGACACCGACCTCTTGTGTCACCTCGGGCAGGGGGCTTGACGCCCTGAACCTCAACTTCCTTCTTGGTAAAAAGGATAAGACACCTACCCCAGGGGTAGAGGGGGTGAGATGTGATGTGATAACGGAGAAGGGGGTCATACCAGGTTCTCCACGGTGCGCAGGTAGCGGGTGCAGCGTCTGTGGCCGTTGTAATCCGACAGGTCGGCAGCCGTGTACCCGTCACGGTCGCGGACGTCCAGCTCCGCGCCGTTCACTACCAGGATCTGGCAGCACTGCCCCAGCAAGCAGTGAGGACCAGGCTGTGAGCTGGACCCCCGCGTCTTGGACCGGCTGTGCAGAAGCGTGGCGCCAGCAGAGGGCGCCCGCGCTCCGCCCCCGGGCCCCGCCCCGTATCAAGCCCTCGAGGCCACACCCCCTAGCCCCCTCCCCTCCTGGTCAGCCCTGACCTCCAGCTCCCCATTCTCCGCAGCGTCGTGCAGCGGGGTCCCGCCCCACAGGTCGGCCGAGATCTCGCCGCCGTGCAGCAGGAGCCAGCTGAGCACTTTGGCGTGGCCGCGGCTCGCTGCGAAGTGCATGGCCGTGGCGCCGTCTTTGTCCTGCTCTGATAGGCTCACGTCGGTGCAGCTCACCTAGATGAGAAGGGGCGGGGAAAAGGGCCTAGGCTGTGCGCCAGGCCCCTCCAGGTCCCGCCTGGGCCACATGCCGGCTCGGCCCCCTCCCTGGCCCGGGCCCACCCTGATCCCAGCTCACCAGCCACACGATCACCGAGCTGTGGCCCATCTGCGCTGCGGCGTGCAGCGGAGTCATGCCGTCGTGGGCGCGCGCGTGCGGGTCCGCGCCGCACTCCTGCACCAGGTACTGCGTCACCTCCAGGTGGCCCTCCTGGCACGCCAGGTACAGGGGCGTGGCACCGTTCTTGGTTTGGGCATTCACTCCCCTGCGAATGCGCAACACCCATCGTGGGTTCTAGGTGCCTGTCACCCTCCAAAGTTTCCTTCCACTGGAGGGTTGGAAGAGTGGGTTGGAGAGGGCCTTGTCACTGGCCGTCCCTGACTCCCTCTGGGTTCAGTCCTGTGCCATCCTCCCCCACCTCCAGCAGCTTTTCTATAAAGCGTCTGTCTGAGTACTTCTTGTTCTCAGTAAACAGACCCACCCTTTTACCATCGTCTATAAGGACATGGTGACCTGGTCTCTCCTACCTTTTCAGCCACACTCACCGTCACCGTGAGCCCCCCAAACTTGCTGTCTGACATCTGTGCCTTTTTCATGGTACTCTCCATCTGGAATGCCCTTCCATCCTCCTTTAACACTCAGGACAGATTCCTTCTCCATGAGGCCTGCCCTGATTTCCCTGGACAAAGAAGGTCTTGCCTGCCTCTGTGTCCCCTTCTGCCCTGGATCAGCTCTGTGGATGACCTGTCATGCTTGGTTAGCCATAATTGCTTTTGGCCTGCCCCACCCCACAAGAAGACTAAGTTCCCAGAGGGCAGGGTGGGAGGGTTTCCAGGATACTGAGTTCAGTCTGAATTTCCGATAAACATCAAATAATGTTTTAGCATACACCAAATATTACATGAGATACTTAATACCAAAACATTATTAACTCAAAATTCAAATTAATTGGACACCCTGGGTTTTGTTGCTGTTCTTGTTAATATGGCGACCTTATGGAATGACCACATCTGGGTACAGGGGTACTAGGCAGATTCTTCTTAAAGAAGGGCAACCAAGGCTAAGGCCTAGTTGTATAGGGCCTATGTGTTGCAAAGTCACACAGCTGGTAAGCAGCATGGGGGATGCATCAGGCTTGGCCATCAGCTGTCACTGCCCTTCATCCTTGTTCCCCCCACCCCCAGTCTGGAGAGGTCCTAACTGAGGAACAGAGGGGAGCTCCATGGGTGCTGCTGGGAAAAACCAAGGCTGGCCTGGCCACTAGGCTGATGAGTGTGGACAGCCCAGAGTGCAGTTACCACAGTGGGGCACAAGATGGAGCCACAATCTAACTCCACCAAGAGCTGCCCACTACCTGCCCCTTCAAGTCTAGAAGCTCAAGCCTGCTTCCTCAGGACCCAGGAATGCAATTCACATCCTCAACCCACTGTCTGTCTCTCCCTAGTGAAACATCCACAATGCCAGTCACACTGGTTATACTCACCCACAAGCCCTCACTCATCCAATTGCCAGTCTGTCCACTGGGCCATCCCTCCTCCTCCACCTGCCATTCACCCACCCTCCTGTCACCCCAACATGACTTAGATTTCTTCTGACCCAGTTATGTATGCCCTCTCTTCCCTCTCACACACAGCCTCCCAGAGGACTTCTCCCTGTCCCAAAAGCTCTGGTTTTCTAACCATTTCCTTGCCCCTGAAGTCCCTCTGGCCATCTGCAGTCTCTCTGGGTACCTGCCAACTTTCTGATTTCTCCTTCCTCCTTGAAATGGGCAGCTCTTTCCTCAACACAGGCCTTCCATTTGCTGGACTGATACTAAGCCTGACACTTTACGAGTCTGGGGGAGCAGGTGCCAGGCCTGGCTATCCTTCAGCACCCTGCCCATGTCAAGAGCAGACTAGATGACTTGGGGGTGTACCTCAGTGGTAGGGTGCTTGTTTAGCATGTGCAAGGCCCTGTGTTTGATCTCCAGCACGACAACAATAACAACCACGGCAGAGTGGGTCCTGCATACACAGTGCCCTGTAGGCAGAAAGCCCAGCCACCTGCCTCCCGGAGACAGGCTGGCTTGCTGCCCTAGCCTCCATACCCGTGCCCCAGTGTGGCCCCCACACACACTCAGTCTTGTACGTCAGGAACAGCCTGTTGAATATTTCATGACCAACACTCAGAGGCCTGAATTATTCACCCCGTAACCAAGGCACGGTTAGTCCTGGGGTCCTGGGGTTGGAGGCCAGAGGGGGCCACCCCCCCAGGGCCTGCAGGTTTCTCTCTTGGGAGGGACCAAGGCAGTGTACACAAGGGGCAGATATGTGTGGAACTCTGTTCTCCCAGCACCTCCTATCTAGCAGGCAGTCATTACCCAGGGGTGCACAGCCAGTCTAAGGAATGGCACCACAGCCCCGTGCCAGCCCACTGGCTGCCACTCCCAGACACTCCTGGCAGTCAGTTAAGGTCCACATTATTATCAGTTTTTCAGCCTCTGCACTCATGACCCTTGTTCTGCAGTTGGAATCCCCTGTTTGGGAGACCCCAAGGCAGATCTGATGGACTATGGTGGAGCATGGGACCCAGCCTTGTCCTCTTCTTGCTTGGCCTGGAGGCAAGAGGAAAGTTGGGCTCTCTGCAACTCACTGGAGAAAATCACAAAAGTACGGATATGCAGAAGGAACAAAATAGAACTTCAATCACTAGAGAGATGAATGAATAATATAAAAAGAATAATGAAGCTAGCCACCAGTGGTTCACGCCTGTAATCCCACTTACTGGGAGGCTGAGGTCAGGAGAATTGTGGTTCAATGTCAGCCCAGGCAAAAAAAAAAAAAGTGAGATCCTATCTCAAAAAGTAATCACACAAAAAAAGAAAAAAAAAGAGTAATCACAGATAAAAGGGCTGGAAGCATGGCTCAAATGGTAGAGCACCTGCCTAGCAAGTGCAAAGCTGAGTTCAAACCCCAGTACCACCAAAAAAGTAGTGACAGCAGCTGCTGTTTGTTGAATGATCACTGGTAAGCATGATACATACTTTCTCTCATCTCTCGTAATGGCCAAATGTTAGCATTGCTCCCCTTTTACAGATGAGGAGACTGGGCAGAGGGCTAAGATCACAAAGTAAGTGGAGTCTTAGTGTGATCCTGGGTTCTCTGAACCTCAGAGCCTGCTTGTGACTCCAACTATGCTGTGTCCACACATCTCCAGGTGTCTGTCTGTCTGTCTTCCTGTTTTTTGTTTTGTTTTGTTTATGATGCTGGGGTTTGAACTCAGGGTCTCACACTTGCTAACGGGTGTTCTACTGCTTGAGCCACTCTCTCAGCCTATTCCTTCTGCACAGGCAGACCCCTGCCCTTCTCTGCAGCACTCACTGCTGGGAACTCAGGAGCCTGTTTGCCAATGAGCTTAGTTCTACACGGGGCTAAGATATGAAGGGGCTCCAGGAAGGCTGTCTTTTTATGAGGACCTGGTGTGAGTCCCACACCTCCTGCTGTGCCACAGAGTCACTTCTTACCTCTTTGCATTCTCAGACCCATCCATTATGGTCCATATACCTTGGAAGTAGGAGAAACTAGTGACCAAGCATGGTTCAGGCTGGGTGTCATTGCTGCGGTGGGGGAACACCACCTAGAGGCCTCCAGATCTCTGCCTGGTCTACCTCTAGTACAACAATTCCTGTCCCAAGCACAGCAACAGCCACAGGAAAATGTTCCTGTACTGAGCCCTTGCCCTGTGCCCAGCGTCCACTCACCACTCCATTCTGTAACTCACTGTTACAGACACAGCCTTTACCCTCCCCAGCCTCAGTTCCTCTCATGACAAATGGGCACCATCATTGTCCTGCCTCTCCATGGTCTCGTGTAAGCAAAGAGTAGAGCAGCATGGGAAGTCGAAGGTGTCCCCTGAGGGTAGAGAAGGCCTGGATTCCCCAGCCACTGCCATATCTTGGTCCCACATCCCCTGCCCGTCCACAGGTTTCAGCATCATTGCTTCTCGGTACCACCTGGCGGTCTTCTGGCTCCTCTGGCTTTCTGGTCCATTTGTGCTTAGAACAGACTTCTCAAAGTTTATTTGCCGAAAGCAGAGCCCTTAATTTTTCTCCCCTCTCATTTCAGTCACCTTGGTAAAGGTTACAATGCTACCCTCCTGGGTTTTTTTTTTTCCCCTTTTCGTGGTGTTGGAGATTGAGTCCAATGCTTCATGCATACTAGGCCACTGAGCTACATCCTCTAGCCCCCACCTTCCTCTCCTTCCTTCTCCCCCTTCTTTTTTGTTTTTGGAGATACAGCTTTGTTATGTAGCCTAGGCTGCCCTCAAACTCACAATTCTCCTGCCTCAGTCTTCTGAGTGCTGGGATTACAGACAGGCACCACCACATCCAGCTACTCACCTTCCTTCTTGATCCCAAACTCTGGGGTTGTTGAAGGTCCCTGACCAAGCCCTCCTTATAGGTGAGAATCTCCCTGGCTATGGTCACATCAAGCATGTGGGGTTTTTTTGTTGTTGTTTATTTGTTTGTTTGTTTTTCTTTCTCTTGGGAAAAAAGATAAGGATAAACTGTAGCTATTAAGCAAGTCAGCCTCTGACTGCACAAAAGAAACATGGAATTCTTATAAGGATTTGTTGGAAATCTCTATCCAAATTTGTTCCAGCTTCCTGTTAACACCCCCACAAGAGATGGGAGTGATGGATCCCCTCTGCAGAATGAGGCTGTAGACAAAAAGTGGCATTTCCAGGGAGCCCTCACTGGCTGCCAGCAACTTCTGCTTGGAGGGAGGCCAGGAAGGGGCTGATACCTACAAGGTGTCTGCCAATCACACCTGCTATGTTAAAAGCCTGGCCTGGGGAGGAGGGAAACACAGCCCTGCTTGAGGAAGGTTCTAGAACAATCTGCTGACACCCTTTCCATCAGTGAGGTTATTTCCAGAAGCCAAACTTGCTCCTCCTAGCTTCCCAGACCTTCCTTCTGGTCCTCAATTTATTTATGTACTTATTTATTTGGCAGCACTGGGTTTTGAACTCAGGGCCTCATGCTTGCTAGGCAGGCGCTCTAACACTTGAGCCACTCTGCCAGCCCTGTTTTGGGGTGGGTATGTTTGGAGATAGGGTCTCTCAAACTATTTGCCTGGGCTGGCTTCGAACCGTGATCCTCCTGATATCTGCCTCCTGAGTAGCTGGGATTACAGGCATGAGCCACAGTCACCTGGCTTCTGGCCCTTAATTTAGCCAAATTGGACCAGCCCGGGCCATGGCCCTGTTCTCACCACAGAGCCCTAT